GGTGTGATTACGGTAGGCGGCATGACCGTAAGGGCGGGGTTATGGAGGCGCGTTTGAGGAAACGGTGCGCGACGCTGCTGTGACCGCCATAGTGGGTCACGGGAGACACATTAGGTCAGCGACGCGGTACGGCCGCAGCCGACCGTACATCGAGGCTGATCAAGAGAGGCGCGGCCGGTCTCGAAAAAAGATTGTGTCTACTGAGAGGTTAGAAAGAGCCAAAGTTTCAGCCGCCGAGAGTTGTTTCTGTTGGTGAGAAGCTGGTTAATTGACAGACGTACCCTCGGCAGCCGCGGACCAGCCTCAAAATACTCAAGGCCCGGGCCTACCTACTATTGCCGCGACCGAGATCTGGGTCTGTTGGCGCCACCCGAAAGGAAGTGATGTCCCGCGTAAAAATAACATACCAGCCCGCTGGAGGTACCCAGCCGAAAAGTGACCCACCAACCAGGTCACGGCTGCCCAGGTTGAGTGGCAGCGAAGGCGACTTTGGCAGGCACCCCCACCCCAACCAAACAAAGGTAACCACCTCATATAAAAGGTGACACGTTGAAGAAGTTATCTCGAGTTGCCGAAAAAAAGAGAGAGAGAGAGAGAGACTTCGTGTCATCTCACTTGGAATAGCATAAATACTGCGACACTGACCACCAACATGAGACTCATGCTGCATGTGCGCCGGCGATTGACCCAAAGTGAGAAAGGATCTCTCATACTCGCTTTGTGGCAACCCAGCTCGACATGGATTTTTCAGCGCTGCTCACCTCAGTTGAAGGTGGCCGCCCAGGTTCAGGGAAGGCTATTGAGGTCCGGAGGTGACCACGTAGTTGAAAATGACTTAGTTGGCGCTTCCCAGATGCAGGTGTACATGATTACGTGAACTTGATCTTATGCTCCGCTCATGAGACGACGATACCTCAGTCAGTCTCTAAGCTGGGAACTGGGACTGAGATCTTGTCGTTGGTCGCTCGAGTAGCCCAGCCTGTTGGTACCTGATCGTCTTTACCTCAGACAATTGTCTGGTGAGGTTGATCTCTTAATTGATCCGGGATTCAAACATATCCCTAGGAGGATATCCCCAGGAGGCCCGCCGCGTGCTTCCCACTGCCTCCCTGGCAAGGCTGGTCGTCAGGATGAAATGGGTCCAACATCCATCGACCAAGCAAGCAAGATACAAACGAATACTTACGTTCTGTTCATGCAAATTCCATCGAATAAACATGAGATTTTCCAAGGCGATGACCAAATTGGTAACGCACGACAGTCTACTTCCTCGCCATGCGCGATGCGGCTTGTGCCAGTCCACGATTGCCCCGAGAAACGGCCTGACCTCGGCCCCTCTTCCACCGCCGCGCACCTCCGTTCTTTAATGAAGACTGGCAATTCCCGGGATGTCAGATACAAGTCTGACTCAGACGTTTTCACCAATGAAAAATGCTGGTCAACGAAATGCCATTCTGGCAAGCGAGCAAGTGAGTGAATACATTGCCTTTAAGAAAGACTTTTTTTGAGGAAACCCAAATGTATATATACCATCTCTATATACAGTTGTTTGGGGCGGGGGATACTTAAGGCAGACTTGAAGGTCACGATAACGATGATGATTGTAGACGCTCTTCTTTATCTGGAGGCTCGAGCTGAAGTTGCTGGTTGAATGTCTCAAAGGCCTCAACCGATGACCGATTGGGTCTTCTGCCATTGCGGGAATCCAACCCCGTGAATCAACGTATTCCTGGTCACTATGATACTTTTCCATCACTCTTACGGCAGCGGGGTCAACAGGGACACAATTTGGGTACGTAGTCCCCATCTTCTCTTTCACACGTCGTTTCTCTCTCTATAATTATCCACCGATGCTGTTCCGGGACCAGCGTTGGGTTTGATCCCGAGACTTTTCCCTCTCATACCATTGCAGTATGCGTACCACTTGCGGCTGCCTTATTGTTGACGGAACATCCCAGCTGGGAGGAAACACCGTTGTTCCTCGACAGGGAGAGTGACTTGAGACAGCCTCCTGACCCCGACCTCTCCTTGCGTGACTGTCCGTGACGACTCGCATTCACCAACAGCGTCTTTGCCACTTACGTCTCCAAGACGTCTTTGGCCGGATGACTGAGTCAAGCCACAGAGAACTTCCCCGAGGCAAACACTGGTGTACGCTGGCGAAAGAAGCTGACGCTTGATTCAAGATGCTGCTGAGAGGCGACCACCGATGACACGGCAGATCGGAGTTCAGCTTGGTGTTCCGCATAACCTACATACAACAGCATACAGGCTTTTCTCACGCTTCGCAGCTTCGGCATGTCAAAGCGAAGGTTGCCGACGACATACTCGCAGAACCAACGGGGCCAAGAACAATCCTATCCCAGGGCGGCTTCCCATGAACCTGAACGCAAGCCACGCATGAGTTCGGAGGCCTGATCGCCACTACCCTAAACATCACCAACTGAACCAATCCAGCGGACTTTCCCGGCCTTGTTTGATCCAGCTCTTTATCACTTTCTCTGACTTCAATTACGACCTTCGGAGACGTCTCTTGTTTATACATATTAGGGAGACAATGTGCCCGGGACTTCAGCGAGCCAGTCCACTGCGCTTGCGGAGAGGAACTGGCATTTAAAGCCCAATATCTTCTGAGGCCTCAGTTCATAACTTACCGTCTCTCCTACACACTGGCTTCCTCAACGGAGGAATCGACACGTTAGGTCTTGATGCTTGCCTTATTCGAGATCACCGCATAGGTAAGGGTTTCATCACTTACGTCACGTCACCTCCGTGTGGAAGTTTATCCATCAAGTTAAAGAAGTGTATCAATGCCTCAGCTCATCGTGGTAGAAGCCCAAAACGCCCTGGGGCGAAGACACGGGAGCGGCATAAAGTTGGCTCCGTGTTGGGTACGGTGAGCAAGTGGCAGGTAGCTACATCGTATTGCGCAGGCATTTGCTTGGTTGCCTCATCCGAGATGAAACGTATTTCTCTCTTCTGCATCCAACAGACTTCCTGCCCAGACATCAAGATTCTCGTAGATATAACCCATTCCGTTCTGCTCCGGCCCGTCACTGCTTCTCATTGGTACGGCAAGGCCTCCTTACTTTGTGTCGTTTCTTCCATTGACCGTGATGTTACAAGTTCGCTAAGGTTCAACTTGAGAAGAGAGCAAATTGCTTCTTGAGATATTATAAGAACGGTATCACTGAGACAGAAAGGCCCAAACCTGCACCGGAGCAGGCTTCCCGTCAACGCTGGCGTATAAAGAGGAGCATAAACGAGAATGGTGAGATGAACTTCGACGAGACTCGTGAGTGTTCGTTGCAGACGCCACGGAATTCTCCGAGTCCACTGTCGTGCCAAAGGTTCCATTACATCCAACGGCTTCAAGCTCTTTCTGCCGATATTCCGACGGTTGCCGGGCCTTTCCACAGCTATCGCACATTCAAGCCGTGACCATCTATCTCACGACTGATGACACGATGATCCACCTTATGGAAACGCCGGGCCCCGCGAAAAGCACCACCCGACCAAGAACTGTGCAGCGCCGCATCATCTATCTTCATCGCTGTCTGAACAATGGCAGCGAAGATGTCGCCAGCCTCAATGAGGATCAAGACCTCCTCTCAGATTCAGGAGGGGGTGTTGATGCCCCGGAGATCACATGGAAATTTGACATACAAGCGAGGGATATCGTAACCTCGGAGAGCAGATCCTTCCACTAACGTCTGCCGACCAATCAATGCGGTTTTCCCATGGGCATTGCCGACTCCGTGTCGTTTATCGCGGGACATCTGATGAAATCTATGGGCACCCCGTCGCCGGACAAGCCGTGTAAGCACCTTTCGCTTTGAGTAAAGAGTTTCCGACTTCGTACGTCGTACGAATTCCCCATAAAGAGTCCATCCCGAAGCCGGTAAACCATTGGCGCCTGCGTATGGCCCCCTCCAGATCCATGGAAATGTCCAGCAGCTCGTTGAAGCTCGGCCCGGACCGAAGCGATCGGCGGCCCGACCTCACACGTGTTTTGTTTATGTCGTTGTCGCCGGGAGCTCTTTGATGATCACCGCATTCCAACATGTGAGTCCCAAATGTCGCTCAGGTTGTGGGCCTCATGACAGTGGTGCATACTGAAGAGGGTGCATATAGAAGGGCGGTCTCAATTCATAAGTCAAGCCCGCTATAGGCAGAAACAAGCATACAATGCCAGTAGTTACAAGACAGGATAAGTTTGGTATAGGCGTTCCTTCTTGCCCCGAGACATCTCCTCCCCTTTGGGCGTTTTGCTGCCAGTCTTATAGCCATTCCACTCGTCTTTGCCCGTAACATTGTCCATCTAATGCAATCTCCTACGCAATACAATGCAGTCACCAACCCTCATTATTCTGGCTCGCCAGACCAAACGAGTACACATTGTAACATTGTCCATAGTGTTCACAGCCACGCTACCAGCACGCTGAATGTCGGGGCGAGGGCGAGTTGTGCCGGAGCCAGGTACCCGGTCAAGACCGCCAGGGCGAACCTGTGGCTTGCCGTTGCACATTCCACTTGGTAGTCAGACTGGAGAAGAACGAGGACCTTCATATGGCTTGCATCCGGCCGTCGTTCTTCTCCAATCTGACCTGCCAAGTGGACCGGGCAATCCGTTTCGCGGACCTATTGTTCCTGATACGCCTAGGTGCCAGCCGAGAGTGCCAGGGCAAACCTGTGGCTTGCCATCATGCCACATAGCGTTTTCATGTGGCTTGTATTGTTCCTGATACGCCTAGAAGGGTCACGGCGGTCTCTTGAAAGCTTGTTGAGCACCTCCGGGCCGGAGACCTTCTGGAGCGCTCCAAGCATCTTCTCGTCAATGTCCAGCCGATGCCAGATGACGGCCTCTTAGGCGTCTTCCGCGTTGAATCTTTCGGTTCATGACCGCGTGTATGGACTTTGGGCCTTCAGTGCTTTGGGTAGGCAAGAGACAGCATCGTCATGAGTCGGGACTGACAGCTTTGGTGCAGCTGCGTCCGCCGTCACCAGCTCTGCTTGAGAGTCTTGGGAAACCCATAATGTTGCATGGCCTAGGAGAGTCAGTTGATGCTGGCAGAAACCCAGGATGAGTTCATACCGTGCTCTGCTGGTGCTTGATCTTTGCCGTCGAAGAAAGTAGACCCTTGGTCAAACGTTTCCAGGCAGACTTGTACGCGTTGGGGGGTTGGTTGGTGGGTGAATGTATGACGATGTAGTGGAGGCGCTCGTCTTTTGGGTTCCGGCGAGTGAACATTGTCTGGAACTAGCGTTGAGGGAGCTCCGTGGCCGCGTCGGGGACCCATGTCACGCCTTGAGTAGGGGCCCGAGTGATCGTGGCGAGGAGAGCCTCGTCAGCTTGGAGATGATAGCAATGCCCGCGTGCTTCTCGGGTGATTACTGCGGCTTGCGCGGCTTGGGCTCCAGGGCGGCAAGTCGAGGCATGGTGTTGGTCGGCTGTACCTGATGTGAATGGTTAGACGGGTGTATGGACGTAATGAAATAGACTGGACTTGCCGGCCTGGTTGGTAGGACGGGGCGAGTCGAGATCTTGAGGGCAGAGGTAGGAGTAGTAGGCGGCCTCTTGGGATGAAATACGCCCGCTTGGTCCCGAAGTGGTGATTGACTCGCCGAAGCAAGATGAAAGGAAACAGGTCAATTGAGGGCGGCGCAGATGATGGAAGACTCCCAGGGAGCGAGCAAATCGACGGGCTTGGAGAACGGATGATCGCAGCAGTAAGAGCCAGAACGTGAGTCGAGCTGCAGGAAAAGGGTTGACGTTGGAGAGGAGAGGGAAAAGTCGAGGAAAATCTGAAGTAGAGAAGAGAGGGAAAAGCAAGGCAGACGTGGAGCAGAAAAACCTGGAAGCACGTCGAGTTCGGGCCCCACCGCACCTATTCATCAACCAATCAAGCTTACAACCTGGAGTGGAAGCTGTCAGGGAGAAATTTCCTCTGCGCGAGGCAGTCGCATAGACAGGTCGGCCAGTACCACGGACGTGTCAAGGCAGGTGGGTGCCTGCCTACCTTCCTAGGTCCGCAGGCATCTCAGACATTCCAGGCAAGAAGTAGTTTCCATTTCTACCGTATTCACAGGTAAGGTAGGCGCCAACGATATTGGAGCAAAACATGAAGTGCCACTGTCCGGTCTGTCACCATCTCCAGTGAAAAGACGTCCAACCTTTTGATCCTTATCGCCAGTTGCCTCCGCGTCCTGGCTCTGGGAACCTTCATCGCAGAACTCAAGGCGGAAGCGAGACCAAGCCAGTAGTGCTGTAATTCCGTTCCGCCCAATTTCCTATACATCCAGAATTTGAGACCAACCCAATAGTGCTGTAATTCCGTTCCGCCCAACCACCCTTCCATCTGTCACCGTCTCCCGTGAAAAGACGTCCAACCTTTTGGTCGACCTCCCCTTTCCACCCCGTCCTGGCTCTGGGAGTCGTTATCATCCTTTCTTCTGCGCTTCTTCCGCCTAGTTCTTATTTTGGCGACGTTCTCGACTCCGCCAGCTCCTCCAAGCAAGGCCTGACGTCGGAGGGCAGGACTTTTGGTGAGACCCAGTCACCATCACTAGGTACTGTTGTCAATGAGTGAACGTCTTCTGTGCATCGCCCGTGCTTACCTCTCTTCAGGGCTTTCAGCTGGCAGCTTGCTGCGTGCTGAAGGAATTGAGAAGTAGCTTGTCTTTTCCCATTGGCGAGTGGAGTCCGAACTCGTAGCCAGTGAAGTGATTTGTCTTCTTGCGAGCTACCCTGCATGTCGAGGTCATGCTTCGCAGAGTCGACTTTGTCTCGGGACCTGAATCCATCGATGGCTTTTACAAGCGTCATCTGGTGTGCCGGTTTCGGAGGGTATCAATGGCAAAAGGTGAGATGTTTGGAAGAAAGGAAAACTGGAGGGGACATCAGAGGCGGGCTGGTTTTGTAGCAGCTCGGGGACCGACTGTGCACCCCCCCAACTTCACGTTCCTTCCATTTCTCCATCATTCCATTTCTGCTTGCGCACCCTCCCGTTCTGGATTGACAGACAACCCGGAAGGAGGCATACGACGGATTCTCAGGCTCACGACCGGAAGGGAAGGCTCCTCCACTCACCACGAGACTGGCGGCAGGCCCAGGGAGCAGTGCCTGCCTGCGGACCGAGAAGGCCATTGGGTCTGCCTGGAATGGGCCCCATTCTGCCCGATGGGCAGGAGCCAGTTCTGCCAACCACAGCTTCCCCGGACACTGGAATGCATCTTGTTTTTTTCTCTTCACGTCAAGATAAGGTGTCTTCATGACAGTTACCCACATCTACCAAGAGAACTGTCTCGCAACCCTTCTGCCTTTGTTCTTTTTGCGTTCCCGTAACGGTCATCCCCCCGGTTTCACCCTCCCTTTCTCTCCGTCAATCGCTAGACCACCAGGGTATACATAATGGACACATCCTCCTCGGTCGTCATGTTCGACAAACACCAACAAGACCCGCCTTCCCAAGCAGCCAGTTCCGAGGCCTATGCTGAGAACTGTGCCGAGCTGTCCGCCGACGATTCAACCGACGACCCCGCCCCCGACCATAACGATGCCTCCAGCCAAAACGCAGCTTCTGATGACGAAGCTTGCAATGACGAATGTTCCGATGACGCCATGACAGACGACTCAGCTGAGCATGAAGACGAGAGGGACGTCCTGTCCCTGGATGCAATCTCGAGCTTTGCTGAAGAAGAGATTGATCGCATGTTCGGGGCCCGCACGTCAATCGAGATCACCACCCTGGCTGTGAAGCTTCTGCGGGCGACAAGTCAAGACTACATTTCGAAGATCTTCGCCACCGCTGACATGTTCTCGCGACACTCTGGCAGAGACATCGTGGCACTTCGTGATCTCAGAATGGCTCAAGAAGTCGCTCGCTTGTGGGGTGGCCAGCAGCACTCCGAAGACCGCGCCGCCACCGAGATATCCCGCATTGCTCCACGCGCTCCCGACCCGGATCACAATCTATCCACGAGCGCAAGCGCTTATGATGACGGGGTTCCTTCCAGCAGTCTGGGATGGGTCACGGAGGAAGATTCAATGACCAACTACGCCACAAGATCTCAGCTTCTGTCGAGCATCGCCACTTCGTCCGCTGGGGAAGAGGTTTCCATGTCAGATGTCAACGACGATGATCCAGAAACCAACAACGTCGACATGTCATCCATTGATGGCAACATCTCAGACCCGGATCCTTACAAAGCATGGTTCCCATCATATGAAGAATCCTCCCACAGCGAAGATGAGCCCGCTTCCAACGCCGCCATCAACCAGCAAGACGAAGGGGAAGCCGTTTCCTCGTAGTGACGAGAACGATGAGGGCAACACCGGACGGAGGGCAAGCAGAGCCATATCAAGAGGATCGGATGTTACGAGGACGGGAGAAGCCACCACAAGAGGTTGTTAGATTTGGGGCAAAGGAGTTTTCAAGTTGCAGCCTTTTTCATCTAGTGAGGTAGAGATGTTCCTCGACCATAGAAATATCCAATGGCATTAACAGCGCCGCCTTATGACGGCCTATTGAGAACGCACAAACATTGCAAGAGTGAATCAACACTTACCAGTCTTGAACGTGCGAACACAGAAGAGACGGAACTTTCCAAACCGAAGAAGGCGAAGGCAAGAGAGCTTCGTCAACAGTGGCGTGTTTGGGGGAACCGATATTGAGCACATGTTCCTCGTGATAGTCTTGCAGAGACGACTGTCTTGACACTTGCCCATCGTGTCTCTTGTATCTGATCCAGAAGAGCAACCAGTTCAAGGACAAAGTGTTGTTCTCCAATGCTGCCTTCGAATCAACCAGCAACCCTCGATAGGTGGCCATCATATTGCTGCGAACGCTTGCTCTTTTGGAAACAGCGCGTTGACTTTGGCATCTTGTGTTTCGAACGTACGGCCAGCCAATTTGTGATACCCTGTCTTTCTTTTCCCAATGATACATCTCCGACCTCCGTTACCATCGCATCCCCAGCCGTGGGAACGTTTTACCCGACGACCGATGTTCTCCTAGCTGGCTTTGAAACAGCCCTCCCAGCAAATTCATGACGGCGTCGTCGTCTCGTCTTCCTCTCGCGACAAACTGTATACCGAGAGCATCTTCCCCGCGTTCGAGACCCGCCAGCCCAGATCCCTCGCATTCCCGTCCGCCTGCAGGACTCCAGGCGCGAACACAATTGCAAACATCTTCCACGCGACGTAGGCGACCCTGTCTTCCCCCTCTGCCCCCCACCACCCACCGAGTTCTCGGGCTCCTAGATCTCGACGTTGTCGAGCGGTACCTCGGCCAGGGCGCGGTTGCGCACGGCGCTGAAGCCCAAGCCGTTCATCTTCCAGAGGCCGTTCTTGAGGCGGAAGTCGGATTTCCTGTCGACGACGGCGACGCCGGGGCCGCGGGACGGGAAAGGCACGTCGCGCAGCCTGGGGGGCAAGTGACGAGTCGGAGGCCTCGTCCGCGGTGCGCGGCGCAATGTCCGGATCGAGGTCGAGGCAGTTTTGGACCACGGGAGCAATGCCTGTTCCACGGCATCCTGGATCATGATGCCCATGGGTATTGATCTGGAGGACAATATCAAACAGGAGCCGCAACTTCGGGGGAACAAGTCTGTCTGTCGCCTGCAAGTTCTCGTTGAGCAGTGTTCGAAGGACGCGTCGATGTTTGTTGCGGATGACACTATGGATAGCCACAGCCCGATGCGCTAGCCTGTGTTCGTTAGAAGCGCAATCTTCCAAATGTCCTTGTTATCCATGCTATTTAACGTACCTCTACTCGATCGAGCCTTGACACGCCAAACGTCTCCTAGATGATCGAGAGACTCAAGCATCGCTCTCTGAATACTCTTCCAGTGTTCCTGTTCCCACCTGCTTCTGGGATTCGTAGAGTCGAGGATTCGTGGAAGAGCAGGACTGCAGTCGCGGATTTGTCGAGTTTGCGGGCTCAAACGCACCCAGTATCGAAGACGATGGACGACCCAGTGACCGATACAGACCATCGTTCAACGTGTATGTCACAGGCTGCTCCCTTGGACCTTGGGTCTGGTATTCTGGATGGCGGGTTGTGACGCCATCCTTCCCCATCCATCCCCCGAGCTTGGTCCTCGATATTTGTCGGGTCTAGGACTGTAAAGACCGTTGCCGTGGGCGCTCGAAATCGCAATCGGAAGGGAAAACGTCGAAGGTTTACGAGTGGTTGGATAAGAGGACCGGTCGCCGTCGGGTAGGCTTGCTGGAACGGTAGACGAGACGGGCCTGTTTGGCTAGGCTGAGGATACTTCTCGAGATTTCTATCAAACAAATGGTCAGCGATGGACGCATTATTAGGGGATGCGACAGTGCGGAGGACGAGAAGTGGAGGACGCGGGGACTTACCTTGCTGCTTTGGTAAATGTTGTGCTCCGAAAGCTGCTCTATTTGGCCGTATTCAAGCGTAATGACAGTGTGGTCTTGTTGAAGTGACCAGAAGGATCGTATGGGCTGGCAGACGACGGGAGTTGATACATCGGAGTTCAGCGGAAGGGACGCCGGCCTCGCCGGATCCTGCCAGGCGCGCGCAGAGGCAGATGGACCGACGGTAAACCATGTCGCATGGCGATGATGGAGGAACTGGATGACGCGGTATGGCTCAATGCAAGCCTTTGAAATGCTGCAGAGGCGGCTATTGAAGTCTTGGAGGGTGGAGGGTTTCGTCGGAGAACGTGGATGGCGAGATTGGATGGAACTGCCCGGCTGGTAGCGCAGGCGCACGGGCCAACCTTGGGTGATCTGGCAATTTTTTCGCCAGAACGCTCCCGCGCCACAACCAGCTTGAGCACCAGCCACCACCACACCACCCCGCCACGACGCAATGGTCCGTTTGTTTGGCCTCGACGACGGCATGAACTTCTTCGTGGACCTTGGCGATTTTGACGTAGGAGGGAGTTTTCTTTCCACCTCATCCTTGCCCTCCTCGCCTTTCTTCTCCTTATTCTTCTGGTTCTCCTCCTCTTCCTCCTCCTCCTCCTCCTCCTCCTCCTCCTCCTCCTCCCCCTTTTTCTCCTCCTCCTCCTTAACCTCCTCCTTCTCGCTTACCAGTCGCCCACTCTCTTCGACGTCAACTTCCAAGGCCTCCTCCTCGACAAAGAACTTACAAGTCAGCTTCTTGCCCACTAAGTACGATTGCGCGACCTCACCACCCGTTAACCAAGGAACCTCCGCCGCTGCTCTCTCCCACAGCAACGCAGAGCTTACTATAGAGCAGTACTAAAGGCGGCATTATAGCGGCCTACTCATACCGTCGTTAGTGCCAGTCTTTGGCGATAAGCAACCCGCCTGATTTCAGTCGTTAGGAACACCGCCCGGGAAAGCGCTCCAAGACGTATCAAGCATATGCCGTTCCTCCATTTACACCAGAGGTCAAGACGCGGGTCTTTACTTCCAAGTGTACCGCCCACAGAATCCATAACGAGATCTTCCAGCAATAGCAACAACGGATTTGACCACTCCGGCAGAGTTTCCATCCAGAGTAGGGCTTTAAGCCGCCGACACTGATGCATCAGATCCTTGACGCCACCGCGAGCGGTCACCGCGTCAGCCTGGGCGAGCTTGGAGGAGTTCTGCCGAAGTTCTCGTCAACAGCGACGGTACGCTCGAAGACACCGACGAAGAACATGGAGCTCGGCAGCTGGAGCCCTGGAGCCCTCGATATAATAGTGAACGGTCGCTCTCAAGCCTCAACAACACTCCAGCGGCTTCACCAGTTTCCGCGCCAACTTTGCGGGCGACAACATATACAGCTCGCCCATGCAATTTCCCCGGTCAACAAGCCCCTACGCCTCGATGGCCATCCTCGGCTACCAATGGACGTGCCACAATTTCGAGCTCTCTAGTCATTTCCCTCTCTCCCGTCCCGTTTGTGCAATGTTCCAACGTAGATCTCCTTCCGAGCACATCGCAGTATCTCTACTCCCTCCGCTACTCTAAAGGACAATTGTTTGTCCTGCTTGTATAAACAACTCTCTTGTCAGCAGCGAGGCCGAAGTTGACTCGGAAATACCCACCAAGATCTTCCTACCTCGGCAAAGACATTATCTCTTTCCGCGAAGATGGAAGCGTGACACGATACGACGCAAGTAACGGCGAGGAAATTAACCATCGCTTTCTCCACAACGATTACCTGACGCTGCACCTTCACGAGGCAGCACCCATGTCGGATGCAATCGGGAGTGCGCAGCAACCTCCAACCGTGACTCTCTCAGGAGGCGACACTGCAGAGCTTCCCTGTGCCGAGTAGTCTTCGTTGCGGCAAACGGATATGAACTTCAGTATGACTCTATGCTTGATCACTTATCTAGTTATACCAACATCTACAGGTTGTGGAACCTTGTTATCTGCCACCTGCACCTGTCAGGGCCGTGGCGTTGGCACCAGCGAGGCTCCCGGGCGGAATCCAATCGTGGCCCGAAGTGAGGTGCACTGCAGGCGCACGGCGCGACGGTGAGGTGGCTCGTGAAGGTGCGCCACACCCCGCCGTTTTGGGCCCAGCGGGCTTGATCCTCAGATTTTGTTCCGGATGTGAAAAACAGTGGAAGCACACCCAAAATCGAAGTCTTACCAAAGTCGAAGTCTAGACCAATTTGACTAAGGTGGTGCTCAAATCTCCAGATCCAGGCGACAACACAGCCACACTCACAGCAAACACCCAGCGTCACGGCACCGGCCAAGTCCCTCTTTCGCTTGCAGTTTGCGAAGTTGAGTTTGCTCAAACTAAGGTCGACATGAACCAAAGGTAAATCCAAGGCCGGCCAAACCCAAGGTCCGCCAAACCTGAGTTCGACCTGTTAAACCCGACCTAAGGTCGACCAAGTCTAGAGCGGGGTCGGCTAAACCACGATTAGGTCGACTAAAAGTCTGTAGTCGACCAAAATCTACCTTAACTGGGTCGACTAAAACTCAAAAGGTCGACCTGAAAAAACCTAAGGTCGACCAAGATTCTGTAGCGGGGTCGGCTAAACCTAGGTAAGGTCGACCAAAAGCCAAAAGGTCGACCCAAACAAAGCTAAGGTCGACCCAGACTCAGGTAGTACGTAATGCAGAGTTTAAAATTTCACATTCTGCACGTCCAGCACTGAGGTCCGGGCAAGTTGGGCCCAGGGCACGTACCTTTTGCCACCTCAATTGGAATCGCATCTGGTCAGCACCGTGAATTTGCTCCTTCACAGAAACACATCCCACCGCAGCAAACGCATCGAACTGAGCCGCACCGGACGTCACCCAAAGTATGGGAGTGGATTGCCGACCGCGCAAACCACTTCAAATCACGAAATTGATTTCTTCGTCGACGTATTACGCCTCGAGCTCGCCCTCCCCTTTCACGATGCCAAACACCCTGTGTTGAGTCTCGCCGCAAGCCAGGTGACAAAGGCGATGGCGCCTGTGTTTGACACAACCCGCAGAAAAGCACCCACGCAAAAAGCAAGGACGGACTTCCAGCGCGACTCTCCTCCAGTGCCCGAACCCATTCTTCGCGGACGAGCAGCGCGATTCCAAGCGTCCATCCATGTCCCGCCGCCCATACACCGAAGCCAGCCACATGATGGTCATACCCGCAAACAGGGCCGCCGACTATTCCCATGAATCTGGTGACCATCGCGTCGACCGCGACGGCCACGAGAGCGGCTGCAATCACAACCATGGCGACGGCCACGGTAGCAGTGTAGGTCGTCCTCCCTCCTTCGCCGTATCTCAAGCTAATGGTTCTGCCAGCAGGTTCCCCACTTCCGATCGATCTGCTCCTCCATCTCGCCGAGAACCATCCGACGAACCCTACCCTATTATGTCTCTCGCAGATAGACAGGCTCCTTGCCCACCTTGTACAACCAACATTGTATCGTGCCGCCGCACTGGAAGACGACACACACGTTGCACCCAACCCGGTTCTATCCTGGTCGCGGCCACCGCTCCCGCGTCTGGTGCCAACCACGTCTACCGCTGAACCTGTTGTGCTTTGGGCCGCTTCGCGAGGTCACCTCGACGTTCTCGAGATATACCATCGCCTCTCTCGTTGTCCGACTCATCTCCGCGTCCTTTTCCACAGGAGTCTACCGACGTACAACCACACGCGCTTGGGGGCGCCATCGATGCTCACATTTTGGTTGCAGGCGCTACCCGCCAACAACACACGGGGATTGCAGGAAGAGAACTTCGTCGCATTCCTGCCGGCCACAACCACGGCGCTACATATTTCAAACCAGATGGCCACGTCCATATGGTCACCTGGTTGCCCGCCGATGCCGGCACTTCGATCGACGCCATCGCCATGTACCCGTGTATATGTCTGCCGCGGCACATGTTCCTCCAGGACAATCACAATGATCACAATGTTGTGGAGCCCGACGACGCCTCGGTGGCCACTCCCCTACACCTCGCAATTGCCCATGGGCACGAAGCTACGGTACGGGTTCTCCTCGCGCGAACCCTGTCGATGGCAACATGGGCAGAGTCACCCACGAATTCCTACATGTCATCCGCCCCTTGCGTCATGGCGGCCAACGGAATGCTTCGAACTCTCGGTTCGCTTTCGAGCAACCACCGAATGTCCGTCCGAGACGCTACTGCTCGCCCTGATGTCGCCCGCTTTCTACCACTGCACCACGCACTCCATGAGAACGGCGAGAGGACCCGGGAAGGAGTTGTTGACGTGCTACTCGAGACCGGGGTGGATCCATAAATGTGCAGCCAGTTGCCAGATTATTTCGGAGATGGTAGTCTCTGCGCGCCACGAACCCGCTTTGAATCATCGGCCCTCGGAATGGCTGAGGAAATGGGAAGACCACGACACGACCTTGTACGGAGGTTTTGGGCCGCTAGATACCCCACGCCTCGATCTGAGTGGTGTTGTAGACATCTGTGGCTACTCTGATGCACGAGGTGATGCGATCAGTGTTGTTTCTTGGCTGTTGGAATGGCGGAAGCGGTGGAGCTGGACAGGTGGAAAGACATAACGCCAAACGGAAGTTCCAGGCCGTCGGGTACCTTTCATCTTCACTTTGAATGGTCCATCAGGGAGCGTATGAGCTCTCTGACGTGTCACTTTGTTCTGTCGAGAGAATTCAAGTCTCTGGTATCGTGGTACCCATTCGGACACCTGGCTGCACCTCGACCTACCACTCTTCATTGTTGTTATCTGGGGGACCTGCGTTGAAATCCACCGACTTCAAAAAGCAGAGTTAATCTCGTGCTCGAGTGTATTTAAAATACGGTGCTGGAAAAATGCAGAAATACTTATCCTTCTTGACTCTGTTAGAATGCTCGCCATACTTGGGGTCAATTGGATGTCTCGAAAGGAAGAAGACCGCCGCCCGCCTCCCTCCCATGTGCAGCAAAGCAGAATGCACTTATGTGGCTACGGATTATCTCGGACCCGACCGCACAAAAGGTCGATTCCGGGAAAAATGCGTGGCCGCTCCGCCGTGTGTTTCCTCGTTTCCCGTTCTTCTTTGTGTCCAGATAAGTGTTGATTTCCTGCCGCCGTCGCCCTCAACCGTTGTCGGACCTGTGTTCGTTTCGCTTTTTGTCGGTTTTCTAGGCCGCTCGGCCATTGTCTATGTTATTCTTTCTTTCTTTGTCGTTCTCACCGCTATGTTCCCGCGAATCGCCCTCTTTTTGGGTTGCCTTACCTACCCCGGATCATCGTCGACGCAGCTCCACCCCCGCGTGGTCGCTCCATTCCCTCGATCTTTCTTCTGTATCTCTTTGGTGTTTCCGCCAATTTCCTGGCCCAAATGAATGGAGGAGGTGTTCCTGTTGCCCCTGGTGGCGATGTTGGTGGAGTTGGAAGAGGAAGAGGAGCTGGAATCCCGGTATGAACACGGCCTTCTTCACGATTTCGGTTCCACGATATATTCAACCATTCCCTTGACCCTTCACTATCGGCGGTGTGTAAGACTGTAGCTAATATTCACTCTTAGAACCTGATACAATATTATCCGCATGCCCAGCCGCAGACCTCCGCCCATGCTGCGGTGTATTTACCACAGGACCTCGTCCCGCTCGCGCAACAGCAGCAGCAGGATACTCCACCGCCAGCCCAGCAACACCGGCAGCCTCTTCAGTCACCGCAACAAGGGGACGAGCAGCGGCAAGTTGTGCTCGAGGAGAACGACCAAGTCATTTCCATCGACCTGGATGCGGATGGCGTTGGGAACGAGAGCGAGCATGGAGAGGTCACCAATAACGTTGGCGATGACGAGAGCGACAACCACTCCAGCGAGAGCCAAGTCGACTACCACCGCGGCCTCGTCTCTGCTGCGCCTCCGCTTTCCGCCGACGAGATGCACACTCTTTTTCCTCCCAATAGCCCGGATCGCAGGTCCGAGGCCGACAGCGACGCCCAGCGTGCGGACAACTCCGGTGATGAGGGGTTCAACGACGAGGATGATGCTCGGTTCTTCATCGCGTCTTCGAAACGATGCGCCGACGGAAGCTCGCCGAAGCCGACGATGACGACGCCGCAGGGCCAGGCCGCAACGTCCGGTTCGAGGACCTCGTTCCTCACCAGCAGGCGGGCAGGAGCCATACCGCTGAAGGGTTCATGACCGCCCTACGCCTTGCCCAGCGGGGCGATGTGCAGCTGTCCGCAAGGGAGAGTTCCCCAGGCGCATTCGACATCAGATACCAGCCTGCAGACGATGCCGCGAGCGAGGAACAGCAACAGGGGCAGCAGGCTTAGCGGGCCTCTTCTCCCGCTCAGGGCCGCCCGCAAGATCATCGCCCTCGAGAACGCCTTAGAGCTTCGGTGCTTCTAGTGCAAGACGCGGTTGTGCCTTTGGAGGAGGAGGATGGCAAAGACTTGCTTGCTGTCTTCAACGATATGCTCCCCACCTTGGTTCTCGAGCTCGAAGCAGACCAGGAGCAAGCGCAGCAACAGCAAGCTCAGCAACAGCAGCATTATCCGGTGGATGAGGGCATGTACTTTGACAATAATGCGCAGCCGCAGCAGCTGCCTCAGGGGGAAGAGCAGCACCCGAGTCCTCCCGCTGCCGTCGATATTGTTGAACGGCTCCGCCAGCTGGAGCAGGCTTTCCTCGACCAGCTCAATGCCGATGCCGCCGATGCCGCGACGCCTCCCCCTGCTCCGCCACATCCCCGTTGCCGCCGCCGTCAGCCTGTCATGGATGTCGATGCTCGCAGGGTCGCCCGCGATGCTGGTGCCCTGGCGTCCAATGCCGTTTCACGGAGGCTGCAGCGCGCCCGCAATGTTTTCACGTCTGCGCAGAAGGCCCGGGCCGCTCGAGTTGCCAGAGACGCCACCACCAGCTACTTGATGGAACTGGCTGCCGCCGCTGAGGAGAACGACGAGGATGATGACTACATGCCTTAACGGCGCTCATTTGCTTTTGTCGCATGTCTATCTGCCTTAAGGGCATTGTAAATGGCTTCATAGAGGGTCCTGTATTCCTTTATACTTACTAACAAGAGAGGCGCCTTTGCTTGTTTCGATTCAAATATCTGGCGTCTGCTCTTCCAACTTTTTTTGTGTCGGCTTCTCTGTGACACCCACCATTACCAATCTGCAGAGTGCTCTCACTAGAGATGCTGTTCATTTAGAGTGAACGTGAAAAAAGGTTATGGGGAGAAGTCATGCTCGCTAAGGTTATCTATTACGCGGGTAACGTCCAATCAACTTTCCTGTTCTTCATTCTATCAAGTTGGAATGAAGTCGCAGTTATTAAGAAGAAGCTTCAAGCTTTCGTTCACCTCAGTCAACATAAAGGGGAAATGTTCTAGTCCTAATTGGGTGCGACGACTTCTCCCGCCATCAAATCAAGGATGCGAAATTGTCGCTGTACTGGATTCACAAGATGTGCTCAGGGAACTCGTAAGGTCGAGGCAGTGATGCAAACTACTCAGGAATGCTTCAAACTACTCTGTCGATAACGGGCACCGGCTCTATTCCGTTCTTTCATAAGCATCAATGGAGGAACATGTTATCGGTCTAACCTCAAGCTTCATGTTGGTATCCCTGGTTTTCTGGTATCTCATACCTCTTTGTGCGAGGCGTTCGAACCCCAGGCCAACCGATCCAAACCAACACATCTTTGAATCAGGTCCACGACTTAAATGTCAAGCGAGATTTCCGAGATGCGGATTCAGCACATGTGATCAGAAACAGCTCGTATGCGATGTCGAGGGATGGGACTGGGCGCTGATGGCGACTGGATCCAGGGCTTTAACCTGGCGTCTATGGACACTTGAGCAGCGACCAGCTTAGCGCTGTGCGTATTACGGCTTTCCAATCAACAGGATTTGGATGCAGTACTACAACGTGGTGCATACTGCCTGCATATCCACGTGGATTTGGCAGGGACCGCGGTCATGTAGCAGTCGAACAAAGGACAGCTTGCCGCTCGAGATTAGCCTACTCTTTTCATCATGGTGGCCATGTCTATGTCTATGATCTTTGTTATACTGCTATTTATTTACTTTTAATATGAGTTGCTGCTGTTGCAGCTTTGCCGCGCCACCCAACTTTTGAACTCAAGGCACATGAGAAATGTTGCACTCCATGCCCGGCGGAGATGGAGATATATCACCTGCCGACGGCTCAAGGCACTAACTAGAAGAGACTTTCATGTGTTCGACGACGCTACCTCCTGCGACTGTGGTGTTGGGTAAATACTCTGAGCTTACTCCTGAGCTTGCAACGTTTGTATCGCTGGGCCGACGTCCGCTCTTCTTCCGTTAACACGCACTCGCCTTTGACTGTCTTCTCCATCACTTCTCTTCCGCCTTCTCGCCTGCATCAATCGTTCAGCCTCACTGATTCGATTCTACTATGACTGCGCTTTGTTGGACTCGCTAATTTGATATCTGGCTTCATTTCGACTTGAGAAGAAAGATGATCCGAGAGTGGGTATCGATGATGACTCAAGGACGGTTGGCGAGGGCCGCTGAAGCCTGCCGCTGAACTTGGACCACTGGACTGATCACCTTCCTGGACTCTGGAGGTTTTTGCATCAGTGATTGCAGCCTGGGTTCGGTTTCGGTTTTCGTAGTCATGGGTTCCCTAAACGATGAATGGTCATGAACTGCATTGAGGATCAGACCTGTGACCCAAGCCGAGATCCAAACCGGGACCCCAACATGAAAACAACTAAAACATCCAATGCAACCTAACCGCTAAACTTCATTATGAGTCCTCAATGCTATCTTGCAGCACTAATCATCGAATTCTCTCATTTTCCATCCCTTTCCAAAGCCCTGTGTCTCGAATAGTCGCATTACCACGTAGGAGCTGGGGGGTATATTAGCGAGCGTAAACCCAAACTATGTCTCTGGTGAGATGAGATTCGGGAAGTTGGTTCTGCTGGCTTCGACAGAGCAGTTTCTGATGCACTTGAGGCAAACCAGTTCACGGGGCTTGGAGGGAGCTGGGGAAGACCATCCCTTGGCATGCTTGAGGGCAACATCGTAGGCGTCATTTCGAAGCTGGCAGGACGTGCTGCTGGGTTGGTCCTCTCCGCTTGCGCAGTCTGTGATGTGGAAGGCGTGGAACCGCCTCGTCGGCTCTGGTGAGGCTGGGCCGCAAGCTAGCTTTTAGCATCTTGCTCTTCAGAGAGGGCTTTTTCATCGGAGCGACACGGATCTGAGTACATTGTACACCAAGTCGTCAACTATCAATATTATTTCTTGGTACTAGTCGTCCCTATCCTTGGAAATCTCCTGAGTTGTTGGAGAATAAAAATAGGTTAGTATCTGCATTCCTCGTCCGGCCGTCTACTCTCCAAGGTATGTGATCGCTAGAGTAGTTGGCAACTGACCGGTCATGGATTATAGAGCTGTGCGATGAGGAGAGTAGGCTTGATTTCTTTGGTTCTGAGATCTGAGATGATGGGAGAGGAAAAGCTTGAGGAAACAGGAGACAGCAAATTTATGGGTGCGCTTTCAGACACTTCGAGTGCCTTCAAAACTTCGAAATACCTTACGTCGTTTGGTAGTTTACACCGACCATTTCCCTAGGTCTGATGTGGTTGTGACAGCGTTGCCGAGGAGACCCTCTGGTGTCATAACCCTCCAAGAGGTATGTTCCTCTGAACCTATTGCTTAGTAACTCGTCGAGAGGATGCCAGCACGTTGAGGCTGCGGTTCCTCGTCTTAGACACGTCGCTTTGAAGCCAGGCTTGCTTCACTAACTAAGGTACCCGTTTTCCAGGAAGTCAAATAAAACGCGACTTCAGTTTCAGGTCATTTGCTAACTTCACCAAATTCCTTTCTTTCTTCCTTCTTCCTTGGGGGTTTTCGTGCGCTCTAGGTTGACAAGGAAAAGGTGTGGACATCGCGAGTTACGAAGAGAAAAATATAGGGTGGCAATACCAAAATCATTTGCTTGCTTCACCTTTGGGAGATTGAGGGAGAGACTATTTCTCAAACATTCATGTGATCATCATTCTGGACGTAGTTCGGATCGAGATGGTCTTCACAACGTCGATAATAGCTGTTCGTTTCATACAGGAGGGTCTCGACGATCTCTGACACAAGTTCTCGCAGTTGAGAAATCAGCCGGCTGGCATGTCGGGTCGTCCTGATGAATGGCAACAGGCATAATGTAAAAGGTGTAAGCGTTCCTGTGTTGAGAGCTGGGGGTCTGACTTTAGATGCGGCCCTCAGTCAGGGTCTCAGCGTTGGAACAGAGACACAACCTTTAGCGCCACGTCCGAGGAACGAACCGAGACCACTAATCTGTATGTGAATGCCGAATTCAGGTTCAGGTCGACATTGAAAGAAAGCATGAAAGACAATGATGTTTAAGATGTTTGAGATGTTTGAGATACTCCTGTGCAATGCTTGATTACGGAAAGAAAAGCAAACGTAAATCTGAGGGGGCTGAGGCGACAATCATCTGTTATGCAGATATTTCCACGGTTCTTTTTAACACAGTTCACTAAGTTCTACAGTACCGCTGGTTCAGTACATCGTCATTCAAGCCAGCGTTGAGGACAGCGAACCGTGTTTGAAGTCCCGTTCCCGAACCACTCGAGAGGTTATACCGTGAAAGGCGCGGATGTCGACAAGTAGAGTGTTGGAATCACACCACGGTTGTAGCTTGTCAATCCGATTTGAATCCCGACACACAGCAAGCAGAGAGATCTCCACATCAAGCCTCCAAAGCGATGTTCTTCTGCTACATTCGGTTCTTGGGCTTCCACTCGAAATACGGCAGAAATGTCTCCAGGGGTCAGATCTTATCAAGGCAGCTGTCGAAATGTTTCACGAGACGAACATACATTGGATGGTTGATCTTTATCCAGACGATACGTTCGTAGGCAGATCATGAGACGGAGTCAGCTGCCGTTACTACTCAGACCTGAGCGTTGATGTGACCACGCGTTTCGTCGAAGTACGAGTACCCGAAGCAGGCTGATGGAGAGTCTTGCAAGATTCCCAGATAACAAGAACACCACGGCGACGGAAACCCCTTCTTTGAAAGACTATGGCTGGGGCTGTCGACTTACTGTGGTTCACGAGTCAATATGGATGAGATGTGAAGAGGTAGCCCACGATGACGGGCTTGCAGAGGCAGATCAGAGGTATTCTAACTTACACTACTTGGAACATACATTCCGGGTCTGGACTGAGATATGCGCCAGCAACCCCAGGCTATGCGGCCTGTTGATCGACCAACAATAGAGCGGTCACAGGCATCGGCCATGAGCGTTTAATAAAGACCACGACGAGCTCCCGAGTGATCTCAAAAGCGGTTATATCCTCGGAGACTTTCGGCAATGTTGGTGAAACGAGATGTGGGCCTGAATCTGCCACGTCTCGAAACACTCCTAATACTGTGGTCTTTCTTTCTCTAAGGTTTGAAAGCTCTTCAGCACTGCTGTGGACTGCATGAAGGGGCTGAGAGGTTTTGACTCCAAAGTCCGGGTCTCGATCCGTCCGGATGAGATGTTCGAAGTTTCAGATCAGCAGACTGACCAATACACGGTGCAGCTGTTGCAAACAATATACAGGATTATCTAAGGAGATGCGGCGACTCGTGTTGACCTCGGATGCCTTCTTCTATGGCTTGCTGCCTTTCGAGAGTTCCGAGAACTGCCGGCGGACGTCAAGAGAAAAGATATATTTGCAGAGCCTCGCAGGAGGGCAGATGAGACCACACCCTTCCAGTTCGCCTCTCTTACGAACGGACTGGGCTTGAATACGAAGAAATCAGTAACATCGTACGAGCGTTTCCGGATCTTGAAGCCGCAAAACGTCTCCTCGGTGCGAGAAAGCCAGGGCATTACCAATACCAAATATACTTTCAGCTTGTAACGGATCTATTCGCAACGGCCCCGCCAGTGTCTGTTCTCCAGACGACTCATGACTTTAGTTCGAGTGAGCCCTACACGGAGCCACCGATAATACGTGGCATACCCGGCATTAATGATCACGTCCGTCATCGAACACGACTGTTTCTTCCGGCAGGCTAGCAGAGTTTGGGACCGAGCAAACATGAGCCATGTCATTCAGTCCCGATGACGACCAAAAGCGTGTCGTGCCAGATGTTGACCAGCATCGCTGGGCGCCGATGTCACATGGTTGTCGACGCGGACGGCAAGATGGGTTCTTGAGTCGCGCGACGTAGCGGATTGTTGAGACTAACACCAGGAGCTGATAGCGTCTCATGAAAGATGAGAAGATATAGAGGAGAAATGATGACGGGGTTCAAGTTCCACCGGCCTGACAATATTACTTGAGCTCAGAGTACGAGTTTCCTTCCAAGAGACGAAAAGCCCCGGGCGACTAGCCTGCTCTGGCTTTCGAGGCACCCGGCAGATCGATGCATGGCACACACAATGGCATGATAGGGAATTCGACCGCGAAGCTTTGCGAAAGGAGGGACGTATAAGCTTTCCACCTCTATCTTCTGAAGCCCTGCCGCAGCGCGACCGACATTCTTCACTCGTGGCACGTCGTACACGAGCAACCTTCACGCTTGAAGCCTGGCCGTACAATTTCGCTCTATCTCAAAATGCGCATGTCGGCGCGGTCCCTGGAAGAGCATTCTGTGGTCCGCTCCCGATGCGCTGTTGTGAGATAAAGGCTCCTGGAGAACAGCCGTTGAAGCTGATGATGGCCCCCGGACGAGATACACGTGCTTCTATGAGGCTGCGTAAGAGCCTCGATACTGCTGTCGTCAAAAGGAAGCAAGTAAAGCGCCATAGAGCGTTTATTTGCATATTCTTCCACGTCAATTTACCTAAAGGGGAGAGTTAGTCAGAACAGCCCTGCGAACAAGTTGACACCGTTCGTAAGACATAGCCTTACCCCGACAGCTTTCTTTTGCCAGATCAAGGGCCTACTAGCTGACCATGAGCTTTGGTGAGCCACATATGGCTGCGTGGACTTGCGATGTGTTATTTCATGCGGTGTTCTTGTCTGAAACGGCTCTTTCAGCTCCGTAAATGCGGCCGCTTTTGTAGTCCTGTGCCTCATGGGCTGGGCATTGTGTCAGAGACACCCTTCTGGATGTGTTTGAGGGACTTGGGGGCGCCTCAGACACCTGCGGCCAAGGAACAAGCAGCCGTTGCCGCGTACTGAACTGAGAATCTACTTTTGGACTTAATTTTGCTGCAAGGGTGTTACCTCAAGTCGCATTCTCAAGTACCTTGACGATTCCAGTGATGGACGTCGTTCAAGAGGCCGGCCTGATGCCTTCTCGTATGTGGCCACACATGCAAGGAATAAGGAAGAGCCCCATACAGGTTCTCCGAGGCTGGCTTCAGGTTTATATGAGAAGATGACTTGCACGCCATTGACGAAATGCGTCTCTACTGATTTGCATGCATTCATGTCTAGCGATACCCTCCTCAGGTTTTGTTTGAGAAATCAGATCCGTACCGGACCGTTGGATATAGTTAACGTCAGCAAGAAATGACTCAGTCTCCTCAGTCAGCCAGACCAAGCCAACCACGACAGCACGGGTTGCCTTCCCAGCACCGGAGTATGCATGAAATTCGAAAATGGTGGGCATAACTGGCTCGTTCCTCAGCGGATCAACACTTGTCAGAAGGGCCTAGGATTGCGGAGTCAAGGGAAGGCCGCTTAAGACGGGGACCCAAGAACGCCGCTCACGCCGCATACGGTGAATTCGCGGCCGCTTGGTCCGGCTCTGGCCGCATATCCTTCCCGCAGTGCTGTCTCTGTACCATCACTAGCGCATTTGTGGATGCGGCGCTTGTAAATCATCTCAACAAAGGATAGCTCGCACTACGTCACAGAGAGTATCGCAAACGCAAGTCAACTTCCCGAAGATCCTCTGCCTTAGACCTTCTAGTGTTGGTTGTTAACTGCGATAAGAAAGGTTTATAACGGCAGAAAAATGAAGGAACGCCCCGAGGGATTAACGAGCTGTACTGCTTCTAGCTGTTATTTAAAACGAACTTAATTAGTAATACCCTTAATAAGGAGGTGCTACCTTATTAAGTATACTATTAAGTTATCTAAATTAAGTAGTATTATATAGATATATACCCTTTTAGCCCCTCTAAACCCTATTATCCCCTCTACTTTAGCTTATTCTCTATTATTTTTATTAGCTTAATTATTTTTATTATATACTTTTTAATATTATTAAGTTAATATATATTATATAAAAGATGTTATTTATTTAAGCTAAAAGATAGCTTATATATAAGAATATCTATATATATATCTCTATATATATTAAGGATATTTTTTTATTATTATTTTTTAATTTAATTAGCCTTTATAATATAATATTTATAAAGTTTAAATATAAATATTATAAGCTTAATAAGCTTTATATCTTTTAAGTTTAAAGGGTTAAGCTTAAAGGTCTTAAATAGAGTTCTTTTTTAGAATAGCTTAATAGCTATTAAGTTATTTATCTTTTTAATAATCTTTTTAATATTATTAAGTACTTTAAAAACCTTTTATAATAATATAATATATTAATTTAATTTATTAAGTATATTAAATATAATATGTTAATATATAGAAGCTATAGTTATTTAAAGTAAAGTATATAATTAATATTTTAATAATATAAAATAGAAATTAAAGAGACTTTATTAATCTTTTAATATTTATAGTTATTAGAAATACCCTTTAAAGTTATTATAACCTTAATAGTTAAAGCTATTTATAACTATATAGATTAAAAAGTTAGCTAAGAGGGCTTATATATATCTATAGGCTTTATAAACCCTTATTATATTAAATACTAAATATATATATTTATATTATATTCTATATAGAAAGTTATTCCCTAAGGTATTACTTAATATAAGTTTTTATTTTTTTTTATAGCTTATAATATCTATACTTTTTCTCAGCTTAATACCTCTGAGAACCTCAAAGCCGGCCTCGAATCCCTCTGTTGCCTGTAGAACCCTGATACTTGGTCGTCTTTCCCGCCTTCCGCCTCCTTCCGCCTCGCCCCCGATGCCCTCGACCGCCTCGAGCTGCTCCTCGCCCACGTCCGGGTTGCCCGCTTCTTCTACGACTTCGTCACCGAGTCCGCCCATGTCATGATGGTCGGGACCACCATACACAACTAGTGCAATCGTGCCATCGGAACCCTCCTCGAGAGCGCTCCCCAGCAGCTTGCTGACGCCGTCACTGCCGCCACCGCCGCAGCTGCTCCTGCTACCGCATACGGGTCACAGTTGGGCCAGGACAACAACGTCAGCACCGAGAAGCACTGCGAGCATCAGCATCGCCACGAGGCCGAGCAGAACGAACTCCTTTATACCCTCTCACGACGCCTTCGACAAGTCTGGTGCGACAACGCCGTCACAATTGCCGTTCCTAATAAGCTCAGGAGGGATCGCGACAACCAGTTCGTCGCAATATGGCTGCCACCCCGATTCCCCCTTTTATTGTCGAAATCTGGTACAACCAGTCGCCCAAGGACCCCGAGAACCAGGCAGAGAAGTACGTGAAGCAAACGAACGGCGACATCCGGACGGTTCTCATCCTCGACGTCCAGTACCCCAACATCTCGTCCATCCGCGTCTACCTATTTGCGACGGACATGGCAGCTGGTGGCCGGCCGGTTCTACGCGAGGTCCAGAGCCTGACGCTGTTCGATTTCGCCGATGCAACCGCCGCCGCGGGGCACAGCCCTCTCCGTCTGTTTGCCTCCGACTTCCTATCGGCCGATACCGACGTGCCAGCCCGGCTGAATCGCCCCATTCCGTTCGAGTGCCACAGCGACGAGTACATCATGTCTCCCTGCCCCTATGTGTTCCACCCCACAGGCTTGCTGATTGAACCCACCTAGAATCGTGCATGTCGAGATCCCTTTCGAGAGTCTGCGCGACGCCTGCCTCAGAGCCCGAGAACTACATCTGAAGAAGCAAGACAAAGCCCGCAACTTCCGGCCGGTGTGAGACCGCTCTCCGTCCACCACATGCAATACCGAGAGAAGCCACTGTAACTGGCATCAAGATGGATGGGACACACGGGAGATGGAGGATTTCGGGTTGGGTTGCAATGAAGGTGGTTTGGTGCCTGGCATGGGCATAGTCGTTTGTGTTTTATGATGCCCCAGTGGAATTTCGGGATGCTGTTGGAATAGATCAAATTTCCTCGTCTTTTTCCCTTTGTGGTCCATCATTTGTCGATCATCCGGCATGGGAACGTTGTGATCGGCTCGCCGCAACTGCTGACGCGCCGGGCCCCCACACGCCGATGGTGTTCTCCATCACCGGCAGATCGGGGATGGTAAACGCCAGGAGGGGGAGCTGGGCGAAAAGAAAGAGGAAAAAAAGGGAGAAAAAAGTGCAAGAGCGCTCCAGTGACGTAATTACCTCAGTGTTCAGGCTGGCGGGGAAAAGAAGCCAGAACGCCGTTATTATGTAATCATCAGGTGCTGCTGGCGACCCTCGTTTTTTTTTATTTCCCCTTCGTCGTCAAGTGCCTTTCAGCGGGCGCTCCCGTCCTGTCCACTTAAAACCACGAGGCCAAGCCGGTGCAGCGTGGTCGTTCCTGCCCACCAGAAAACGCCCAGTGGAGGAAGGTACCTGCCACCAGTGGGGCCGGCCAGCGCACAGACCCGGGGGGCATAAGTAGCTTACTCAGCCAGAGGAGACGTCACTCTTTTTTTCTTCTTACCTACTACAGACACAAACAGACCCCTACCCTAGTACCTCACCTCACCCACCTCAGTGTAAGGTACCTTACCTTACCCACCTACCTAGACTCAGAGGTACTGGTCTCTTATAGACCAGCATTCCTCATCAAGGTCTTGCCCCCTGCGACCTTGAGTGAGGCCATTTATACGCCACTATATACGCTATAAAGCTTATTAGGATAGAGTTTTATTCTTTTAGAATATTAAATATTAAATATATACTTATTAGGTATAGTGAGATAATATTGATAGCTAGATTATAAGGGTGGCTGCATTGTATTGCGCGGCGTATTGCATTTGTAGACTCAGAGGTACTTAAGGTGGAAGGTGCGCTTCCCCGCACTCAGCCTCCACTCTCGCTGGTGCCAGGGCACTTCCCACTGCTGGACCATGGACACACCTGACCTGTGTGACTCGGCGCGAACGCCTTCCCGCCGTCTTCAACCTCGTCAATCGCGTGGATGCGCTCCCGTCGTCTTCAACCTCATCAATTGCGCGAACTCTCTCCCGTCGTCTTTAACCTCGTCAATCGCGCGAACTCTCTCCTGTCGTTTTTAACCTCGTCAATCGCACAAGCTCTCCCCCATCGTCTTTAATCTCGTCAATCGCGCAAACTCTCCCCCGTCGTCTTCAACATCGTCAATCGCTTAAGAAGCCACCGAGAGCTGACGCAGGCGCTGCTGGCCTCCTATTTCTGCCACCCCCGTCCACCATCACCATTTCCGACCTCAAGACCATCCTTTCAAATTGGAAGCCATGTCCCCAGCCGCAGCTCTCTTTTAATCCAACACACTCCCACACAAGGCATGTCTTCAGTTCGGGCAGAACACGAAGGTCAGGAAAGCCTGGACGCGAAAATCGAGTCTTTCATCAACAGGCTGCCAACTCTTCACGACCTCATTTCCGTTCACGACGACGTCGTACTCTCCCTCATTGAATTCGAGAAGAGTATCGCTTCCGACATCGACTTTTTGCACTTCCGGGACGGGCTCCCAGACCACATCGCCGAGGTCCTCATCCACTGCATCGGCCACTCCGCGATTTGCAAAATCCACCATCGTTTTGTAGGCACACTGCGAAGGGCCTGCTCAACGTAGGGCGTCGAGCCTAGTCTGGTCCTCTTCTACCTAGGCTGGTGTCACGGCCGCGGCTTCTGGGAAGAGCTGCGCAAGCTAGCAGCTTCCCTCTGCTGGACGGACGCGATCGACGAGCTCCGACAAGAAGCGGACGCACGACGCCAGCTAGATCCAAAGGACCGCCCAGGGATCCACGTCCACAAGAGTGGCGTTATTTTATCCGACATCGCAGCCGTCCTAGTTCGACAGGGAGTACAACCCAAGTGCCACCCCCACGCAAAGACACGCAAAGCCAAGACAAGGCAAGACGACCAAACGCCGAGCGCCACCAGTAACGAGGAGTACGGCGACAAGCAGGACAGCAGTCGCGACGACGATCAGGAGCAGCACACTGGTGGTGACGACGACGAGCAGCACGCAACGGGCGGGCACGGAGACCATCACAGTGACGACGAGTACGAGCAGGACTTTGGTGGTGGTGACGACGACGAGCACGCAAGAGCCCAGCACAACCGTGGCGACGACGATCACGACCACGTAAGAGACGCCCCTGAGGACCTCTTGGACCAGAGTTTGGACGCTCCTGATATTGGATTTGTCGACGCCGTCGCCCCTCCGTTGGACCCCCCGTCGCTTCCGTCACCAGCCAGCAGACCGTGGTTTGGTTTGCCAGAGCCGTTTGGTTGCCACGTCTCGGAAGGTGATTCAAGTCCCCGCTCGAATACAATCGACGGGAGCTCCTCTTTGTCTTCGCAGGTCAACATTTCGAATGTGCACGCGAAACCATTCCAAGGCCCTCTTCAACACTCGCCGTCGTCGTACGAAGACGTGGGCTGGAGTGGCTCGGACGACACCATCGACGTCAACGAGAGTGTCAAGGCCGCAGCGATGGCGGATCTGTCGAACGTCACCATCAAAAGGCCGCGTAGCCGGTCTGATGCATGTGAGTTATTCTTGACTGGTCAATACCCAGCTCGGCCACCCGTTGGACTATATTCTAACCATCCTCCTAGCAGCAATATCAACCAAACGACCCAAAATGTCAATCGAGCCCAAACACCTAGACATCGACAATCCGCACCCGATAACAAAAGCATCCGCATGGATAAGAGGGGATTGGCTGAATGACGCACTTACTGCCATGACGAGAGGACTGGAGTGGGTGGCCTTGCTTGATTTTTCGGCGGTGGCCAATCTGGACAAGCCAAACTGCGAAGCCCTGCGCAACGTGGTCGCCACGATTGAGTCCGAATCCACGACGCTCATTTTGCTCCCTATGTATTACCAGAGCCATTAGTTTCTGGTTTCGGTTACACTAAGGGACAGTCAGCCGTGCGCCGCGTCACTCTATGACTCGTTACCGTCGGGCAACAACACGAGGTTTGCCCGAAAACGCACTGAACGGTTCTTCCAGTGTTACTTTCCGAACGCTCCGGTGTCATCAAATCGTATCTTCAAGTCTATGGCAGGGCCGCGACAACAGAACACAGACGATTATGGGGTTTATGTCTTCGCCACGGCTCTCTACATCATTGTCGGCGAAGACCTGCCGAGCGAGGTCCATTCCCCGTTGTGGAGGCAGTTTATGGCCGCAGCTCTCGGCCAACCTGGCGATTGGGCACATGTGCTTCCACTACCACCCGCGCAAGACATCCCCGTACACCAGCCCACCTGCGACGGCCCGTCGGCCGAAGCATTTCGAGATTGGACTTCCCAGGTGAAGCGATGGCATGACGAAAGGCGGGAACTCATGCTTCAGAAGGTCCACAACGACATCATATTATCCAGTACCACCCTGGTTGAAGTAGAGCCGGCGGTCAAGGTTGCTTCGATCCTGTACGACGAGACCAAGAGCATGCTCGATTCCACCACGGCACAAATGTTCGAGCTTCAGAAAGAGGCGGCACGAGAGGTGGAAGTCACACGATTGAAGCTGCAACAAGAACTGTTACAGAAGTCGCGCGCTGTCCTGGCCGGGCTGGTAGAAGCGTTGGAAGCAAAGGAGGACGAAATCATCAAGGCGCTCAATAGCCAGGAGGAGGAGGCTATGATATGGGAAGCCGCACGTCTCGTATGATCATAATTAGCATAGGTGCTCCTGGAGTATGAATACAATCTGTCTTTGCGCTGCTTACGCGACAATCCACCAATGTTGTGAGTGAACCTCTTGCTTGATTCTGTGCCTCTAGATTCATCGCCGCCGTCACCGGAGCCCGGAGAGAAATATCAATCTGCCCAACCTCGCTTCAGTATCATCTGGCTTCCGATCCACCGAGAGATCACCTGAGAATCATCCCACGCCCTCAACCCGGGAAACATATCGTCACAGGGATGCACGCAAGTTACACCACGACCCTTCCAACCCTAGAACTGCTGGAGTCCAGTCGGTCAAAGCATGAGCACTCGCGGATGGGAGTGTTCGCAGCATGTATCACTTCGGAGGTGTTGACCAGTCCTGGCCTCGTTCGCGCCATGTCTCAGTCCGACACGATGACATGGAAGGTGGGCTGCCACCTCATCAGCCGAGGTGGACGGCCGCGCGTGCGGAGATTTTGGGCGGCCAGCCAGCGCCTTGAGAAAGGCGGGTTTGCTTCGGACGCAGCAGTTCTGGTGCGTCCGAGAGCGCATCGGCCTCTTCCGCGATCCTCTCCGCGGCGATGGACGTTCCGTGCCTGGAGGATCGGAATGCGAGAAGGACGGCATCAAGAGCGGGTGATATAACACGGCGAACCGCCGCGCCAAGGTGAAGACGATGTCGCGGATGAAGCAACAGACGAGGGAGGTTTCGCGCTCCGAACGACACGCACGCCCGGAATCAGAAACCGGACCGCAGATACAGACAAACCTCGCCGACGCCCGTACGCTGCAAATGGCCTGCGATGCCACGAACAAGCCCACTGTCTATCTACAGAAGAACTACTACAACGACCGCCATGATGACGCTGTTGGACGGGGCCGCTTCGAGCGTCTTGTCGGGACGGACGGTGTACGGCACCCACCCGCCTGCGACCTCGTCCGCCGTCGCCATCGTCTTCATCCTCGCATTGGTCGGTGTAACCAGCGTATCGGGTCCTCCTCATCCTCACGCGCCGGAGCTCTCTGCACCTTGCGTCCCGCCTCCCGTCGCTGCGCCCCGAGCAATCGCCGCTGCAACAGGCCGATACGTGCTTGCGTCGGCTTCCTCCTCCTCCAGACGGTCCCATAGTCGGTCGATGTATCGTCAAGTATGCGTGCGGTTCGGGGTCAGGGCGGCGGGCGCCGGATCGTGGAAGAGGAGGGCGAGGAAGGGAGAGCGGCGAAGGAGCATGCCGACGGTGTTGCTGAGGATCGTTTGATCCGTTGAGCGATCGTGGTGGTCAGAACCCGGGATGCAAACGGCGCTTCGGATTGAATGTGGCCACGTTTCTTGGTCGTTGCCGCTGGGAGACGCGACCGGAGGGAACTGCCGGTTCGAGTACGGGATGACTCGAGGTTGTTTGTCGCACAACCTTGCTGACGGCGGCGCGAAGGGGATGGGTGATGGAGTCGACCGTTAGACTCTGGCCTCGTGCCTATGCACGCCCCGAAGTAGCTTGCAGCGGAGAGCTAGGCCAGAATCACGGCTCCGGCATCACGGTGTCGGACCTCTTTTCGAGATGCTCCGAGACTCATCGTCCCAGTGGCGGAGAGGAAAGTCGTTCTGTCGTCCTGCGGCGGCTATCAGCACAAGCCGTCATCATGACACACATGTTCAAACCAAGCCGACAACCTCCTCGTCTGCTGAACCATGTTCTTTGGCGCGGCGCATGAGGATGCCGCCATCGTAAGTAGGCCCGGCCAGCCTCTTCTGGGCCCCCGAAGGAAGCACCAAAGATCTCTCGTCAAGGCAATCTTTCAGAGATGGCGGGGTTCGTCGAATGATCCTCGTGGCCAAATGTCGATCACAGGCACCGGTCGGTTCGGGGAAAGGAACTGGATAGTTCTAGTGGATATGCCCAATCAAATCGTGATGTCAGATCGGGGTACTCAATCGTGGTATCGCATCGTGATTCCTGATCGTGTCGCGGGAGAATCGTCGTGGGATTTAAAGAAGCTCGCGTGGCGATGTTTGGCCCGAAGAGACGTCAAGACTTGAAGGTCGGTTGTCTGCGAGGATGGCTTGTTGAGAAGGTGAACTGATAGCTCTTTCATAGACCAGGTTTGGCGTGAATGTGCACGACTGCTCAAAATCCTAGCCCATCAGCGACCCAAACAAGATTCCGTCCCGAGGAATGGCGACATCCTGAGTGACTAGACGCGTGTTTCATGTCCTGATCCTCAAGACCATCGTCCAGGTGGACGCTGAGGATTGCTTCCTGATAGAAGCCCCGATATGAGCTCTCCCTGGGGTTGTCGACTTTCTTTCCCTTTCTCTTCAAGCCTGCCCGGACTCATGCTTCTGGAAGAGGCACCTACCGAGGCGTGTAGGTGCTTGATGTCCTTCAAGCGCACATGTATGGCCAGCCGGCGTTAGCGAGAAAGTCTCGACGCAGGTATGGCTTGATTTTGATGGTCGAGATCAAGAAGACTTGATATCAATATCGTCGGTGTCGTCGCGCTGTCGGGAATCGGCCTTTCCGGGAGAAAAAAAGAGGCGGCGCTGTGTGCAAAGAACCTGGGGACCAAAGACCGGAAAAGACTATCCATCATGTTTCCAAGGCGTACTTCTCGGGCGCAGTTGACAGCGCAATTGACGGGCGCAAGGCCCAGCCCCTGGTCGAGATTGACACTGCCGGCCACGCCAGCAGTCAGTCCCGCACCACCGGCCCCGCGCCGCGCCGCCTCCGAGGCCGGTATACTCTCGGGACCAGGTCGACTATCGCGGAAGCAAGGCGGATCGGCGCGCGAGGCAATGCCAATGCCAAGCTGACACCGAGAACCGAGACTTTCAGCTGTTCCATCACCATAAGGCTTTCTAGAGTTAGACAGCTCTTCGGCACCGCTGACATGGCGAAGGAAAGGATGTCAAGAGCCGACGCAGACAGCATGTTGATAAACGCCTACCGGAGACCACTCTGGAATATCATACCATTGAGTCTACCAACAGCAGATCGCATACCCTATCCCGCGCCACCCTGGCTGGCGCCGCCCGCCGCCGTCTCTGCCGGGCACAGCCTGCATGCTCTCCTCCTCAATCGCCGCCGCTGCTCGGGGGACAGCGTGTTCCACCACCGTTCGAAGCGCCGATTCTGCGCGGCCCGGACCTGGTTTCTGCCCCTGCCCTGTTCCGATAGCCTCCGTCATCTTCTTCGTCTTTGAGCTCGAGAGCAGCCGGCCTGCGAGCCACTCGCAAAGGCTTCCTGCTGTCATGTACGGTGATGCTTGTCCGGAGCTGACGGGGCGTCGGAAGCTGTCGAGGGCAGCTTCATGCGGGGGTCCTCGGGGCCGGAGGTAGTTGTCAAAGCGATTCCGATTCTGGGCGTCGGCGGAGTCATCGACGCGGACCTGGGCAGCAAGGTTGTTGACGAGGCCCTCTTCGCTGAAGGGGCGGCCGTTGTTGGTTGCGTTGCCGGGGCCATGATCGAATCCTATCCCAGGGCCGTCATCACTTCCCATGCCAGGGCCGTTTTTTATGCCGTTGCCAGGGCCGTTGTCGATTCCCTCGTTGCCGCCGTCGATTCTGTTGCCGGGGTCCTTTCTAGATGTCGGGTCCATGCCGCTCCGCTTCAGCGCGTCCTTCCAGCTCTGGTGCGCGAAGATGCGCTTCAGCGGTGCCGGGTCCTTCTTCCAGCTGGCCAGCCTCCGCTCCTCATTGTCCTGGAGGTCCGAGTAGTACGGCTGGATGTTGGCGGCGGCTGCGAGGTCGGACGGCGGGGCGAACTTCCTGGTGTCGCGGCGGGCTTCCTCGTAGAAGAAGTGCTGGAAATGTCGCGCGTTGCGCACCTGCGCCTCGTGCCAGGCGGGCTTCTTGTTGGGGATCGGCGGCGGCCGGGGCTGCGATGGGTTGCCCGCGTCTTGGGTCTGCCGCTCGTCTTGCGTCTGCTCCTCATCTTGGGGACGTAGTTGCGACGTAGTGGGCTTCTGTGGCGGTTGATGTCAGCGTGTGGGAGTGAGGGCAAGAGAGAAGATGAGGAAGACAAACGGGCTGGCAGATGCGGGGAGATGAGTGTTGGAGAGGAAGAGAGCCGCTTGGCTATTGCGCATCACTGCATCAGTAGACAAGGCTCTCTTCGAAAGGTGCAACTCGCCTGTCGTTTCTCGTGTCTCCCTGAACAAAGAAGACCCTGACTGCAGGCCGAGACATGGCGAGCCCTCCATCGTTGACGAACATAGTCCAACCCAGGCGCAATAGACAGCCGTCCCCCCTGGCAGCTCCATACCGACATGTCCATCATCAATATCTTACTCTGCTCCTCGTACGTTCCACCAGGAGATGGCGGTCAGCCCGGCCGTCACCCTCTCCGCCCGGTCCCCCTCGTCGTCCCGGTCGCCGCGCAGGGCCGGCATGAAGACGTTGTTGTGGACGCTGCGCTCCCGTTCCGTCATGAGCAGGCTTGCCGCCTTGATGATGGTGCTGGTCCCCTCGACCGCACCGTCGATGCCGTCGACGCGGTGCGGGCGGCGCGGAAGGCGGCGAGCGAGATGTTCGCGTTCCCGTCGCCCGCTGCGCGGAACCCTGGGTACTCGTAGAGGGGGGCAGGCGTGAGAGTTCCGGGGTTGGCGTTGAGGAAGGCGAAGTGAGTCGCGCAGGCTTTCCGGGTGATTGCTGGGTGGTCCATTGTCAGCTGATTGAGTCCGAGAGTGGGGGGGAGGGGGAGATGGGGAGACGGACCTTGCACGTCGCTGGACTTGGGCTGATTCGATGACGGGATCGCGGGTTGAGGACATGACGCCGATAAATGGAACACCACCAGCGCTGCGACAACCGTGGGAAGCAGGAATCGAATCAGGAAACGACAGAGGAATTGAAACAGAAAACCAAACATCGTATCGTCGCTGTGCGTCAAGGCTCGAGCTTGGGGCGGTCAGTAGAAGGATGTATTTGCGTTTGCTAAAAGGCATTCGTTCCGAGTTCTCTTCTGGGCGCACACCAACCGTCTTTTCAAGTCACGCCAGATCCAGGTTTCCTTCAGCTGCTTTGTGGAAGAGCTTGGGGCATTCGGGAACGCGGTCTGGTGGACGGCTTGTGAAATGACGAACAAACAGCGGGCAATACTCTGGATTTCTCGCGCGACCTCTGTCTACTTCTCTTGGTATGCAAGGCCTCCCACACGCGACGAGGAAGGCGTGTCGCGGCCGGGTTTGGATTCCTCTCCCATTCCTCTTTCCCTCCACCTTCGTTCACACTCCACGTCCACCTTTGCTGCGCTGTTCGTAGTATCCGCGGCGAAGCAGTCTCGGAAGCCATGCGAATGCCCGCCTCGTACGCGCTGTGGTGTCGCAGGAAGTCCTCGTTGCTGCGGAAGATGCCATCGTTCGCTCGCTCCGACGGCCTCCTCTTCTGCCTGCCGGGACCGTATCCATGTTCGTCCACTGGGTTGGTACCCTCGCTGCGACGCCTGGGGCGCTGGGTCGATGTGGCCGATGGCGGGCGCGGCCGCGACGGCGTCGTGAAGGACGTGCTCGTCTGCCCGTCGTTGTCTCGGGCGAGTCGGGCGACTAGTGGATCAAGGTTCAGGTCGAGAATTCGCGGAGGCGTCTGAGGAGGAATCGAATTCCGGGGAACGGGGGGGCCGGCTATTGAAATATAGTTTGTAAGGACTGAGAAGTCAGCTATACGTCTGCGGGTGGAAACTATGAGGAAGAAGGCTTACTGGGCTGGTTGTCATAGGCGCGATACGTGTTCTTGATGAAGTCGAGCTGACGTGTTGTAAGCTGTGGGCAAAAGGCGATGAGCGCAGGCGGCGGTCGGCGGCTAGGAGACGCTTGCTGATACTGTGTGTAATCTCCATCTTGTTCTCGTTGCTGCTGCCGCCGCCGTTGTTCGCGATGCCAGAGCGTCTGGGCACCTAGCAGAAGTCTCTCCTTGTCGCGCTCGGAGATGGTCTCGTTTCGAACCTGTGCGAGCAGGTCCCGGATCTCTGCCGAGTCGAAGGTGCACTCGCTTGGATTCCGGGACGTGGCGTTGTGGGAAGAAACGGCCGACGGATTCTGAGGGGCGCCACGTCCGCGAGCATGCCGTTCGCGCCGTCGACGTGGCCCTCGAGCTGCGCGATGAGCGCCTCGATCTCGGCGCGCTGGGCTGGGACTGACGCGAAGAGGGCCTCGTTGGAGGCCTGCGTGTTCTGCAGGCGCGCGTTCGTGGTGCGTTTGTCGGTGTGTTGGTGGATGTGAGTTGAGGTTGAAGACGGAGGAGGGGGCGGCAGACGGACTAGAGGAGCATGTCTCTCTCTCTGTCCGACTTCCAGTTCGTACCCTGCATGGCCTGGCCGTTTGCTCGACATCGATGTCGGGGTGTTTGAGGGGTAGGGTTGACCGTCTGCCTCATTGCCGTGCGCCTTGTCTTTCCATCCATGCCAGGCCGCCCTTTCCGACCTCGTTCGCTGCTGGCTAGACGTTGTCGCCCTATCCCTATGTTCTGCGAAGAACTCCAAGGTATCGCATCCCATGTCGTGTGTGCGTCTTGCCTGACCATATGCCCCTGCAGACCTGCTGTGGACAGCCACTCGCCCAGTTCAAGACGGACAAGCCGCCGCCGTTCCGGTTGGCCTTTGGCTGCTCGCGGTCCATGTACCAGCACATTGTGCTCAGCCCGGCCAGGTCCGGACGAGGGACTGGGGGTATCTCGAATGGGCTCTCCATCTCGTTGACGACAATAACGACTCGGACGGCAAAGACTTTGAGCGGCAGGTATACCAACGTGTGGTCAGATCGATGGAGGCGAGGATGAGGGAGATAGAGTCGGTGAATGCCATCAGGCTCGTCGAGGACCCATACATGAGCAAGTACGTCCGCGCCTGGCTTCGCGACGACTGGGATGCATCCCGCCCATGCAACCGGACCGAAAAGAGCGCCCGGAAGCTTCTCCTCATGCCGAACCCGGGTGATGGCGACGACGACGGGAACGACGGCGGGGGGAACAACCACCAGGGGGGCAGCGAAGATGACAACGGTGACGACGACCGCGACGATGGCAATGACCGGGAGAACCGCGACGGGGGTCACGACCATGGGCCCCAGCCCGAGCTGGACCTGGTGGCGGCTGCTGAGGCTAAGAGCCGCATCGAGACTTGCGGGAGCGAGCTGCAGGCAGTGCGGGACCTGATCATCCACCTGACGTGCAGCGTTCTGGCGGCAAAGTACGGTTCGGATCAGGAATCACCCTGGGTGCAGGACAGCATCTTGGAAATGCTGGGCAACTTCGACGACGCGCTGGAGGCATTCGGGGTGGTGGAGAGGCGGCTCGAGGATGCGTACCGGGCGCGGTGTCTCGGCGACGACCACAGCGACTGGGTGTACCCGTTGAAGGATCGTATGCAGCGGAATCCTCAGCTGGTGGTCAACGATGCTCGCCGCTGGGTAATCGGGCGATTGACGATGGTTGATTATCGAGTGGTGTCCATCTGAGTGCGTTGACTCGTGGTGCATGGACTCAGTCCCAAGGGAAAAAAAACCCAAAAAAAGAAAAAAGACCAAGCTTGGACTCGGTCGGGCTGGACAACCCATGTATAGTGATTGCCCCTCTAAGTGCATCCCCCCAAAGCTGCATAATAAGGTTCAATGCATCAAGCGCGATGGGGTTTCCAGGTTTCAGCGTCAGTAAAATTTATTTCTCCGACTGTCCCGGAATATGTCATGTCACGTGGCGTAACTGAGGGACCTCCCGTCGGAGTTAAGGAAATTCGGCTTTTAGATCTGCCCCACCTTTCATCATGTGACGTCGGGTGGTCCCGTCTCCCTCGGTCAGAATTCGCGCGGATCCCTTGCATCACCGCGCCTTTTTTTTTTTTTTCTCCCCCGCTCAGAGCGAGGCAATTCACTGCTTTTTTCAGCCAAATCAGCTTTTTTGCGAACCCTCCCTCGGCGCACTGGATACCATTGTCACCGCTTTTGATCGTCATCGGTTGCAAACGAACCCCTTCCGTGCATCCTGACCTCACTACGTGTCCCTGATATGCGTCCGTTTGTAGGTTTGTCTCTGCTTCCTTCTGCGGCTTTTTGCTCTGTCTTCTAACCGCGTCCAAGATGCAGCAACATCGCCCATGAAGCCCCGAGTCCGACCACACATTGCCGTCGACGTCTGCCCTTTGCTTGCAACTCCGCCTCGGTCCCGCTCCTCAAGATGTCCAGGTGCTCGAGCTACGCTTCCTTGAGCCATGGCGGCCGCGCACCCGGCGCTTGACGAATATCTCCTTCATCCTCTCCCCCGCATTGGCGAGACCAGAATAAAGAGAGTGCGGCGGCGGCGACGACAACGAAGACGACGAGGCGAGGACGATGACCCCGATAACTCCTGCAAGCGCGACCTTCATCCCAACAATTGCCTCGATTGGGCTGCTCGTCAAGACCGCGACAACAACGATGCCGACGACTACGATCATCTGACAACAGTCACATAACGTGGGAGAGATACGGCGACGGCGACGACAACACCTCTTCGCACCCATCGAACGTCATTACTCTCCAAGAACCGATCGACCTGACGCCCAGGTCCGCTTCCCCTCCTCCGCCGTCGCCTCCACCTGCTGCTGCTCCCCAGCCGTTCTCGTGGATCCTGCTCTACTACATCAACCTGGCAGTGCTGGTAGCCTCGCTCTGCCACTACCCTTTCGTCCTCGTCTCGCGCGACGGCGTACCCGTATGGCGGCCCGGTCTTGCCATGACAACAATAGTCGCCCGAGAGCCACGTTTCATACAATACGTTGCCTCCTACGAGTTCGCCCTCGACAACTACCTCGCCGTCGTGTCCTCCCTGGCCGTGCCTGTCACGCCTACGCCCCCATCCGACAGTTCGACACCCACACCCTCCTGGTTTCCTCCCAGTGTCCTCGACAATCTACGCCGCGAGATGCATGCGCCACCGCCCGCACCACCCAGCGGCGGCGGGAGCTCTCGCCAGAGACCATCGCTGGCGCCAGGCATGCGTTCCCGGCCGAAACGTCGTCAAGTCCCGCGACGCTGCTCACGCGGACCTCGTCAAGGCTACGCGGCTGATGGACGACCTGCAGCAGGCCAGTACCGCCCGCTTCCTCGAAAGCCTGCGGGGGACACTCGCGGCATCTTAGGCTGCGCTGGCGGACCTTAGCCGCAACGAAACTCCCAACAGGATCGCTCATCCAGTGCTCGGCGCCGTTTCCGACTTTGAAGAAGACCACGTCAAGTCGGCCGAGCCGATCACGCGTTTGCTGGAGCACCTCAACGCTGCCAAGCACGTTGAACAGCAGATCATCCTGCCCTTCCTTGCGAGGATCAGCATCCTCCTGGGCACGTCTGATGCCATGTGAGCCCCCCTCCCCCGGTTCCTCGCGCGCTGCTCGTCCGATCCTGACAAATTCCCTTGCAGTGCCGGCCACATTCGAGGCCAGACGAATGTCACTCCGACTGTTGACTACCTGTTTCTCCCCGCGGCGCAACGCCCTTCTCGAACTACTCGACTCTATCGCCACCTCCTCCGCGCCCGCGCCGAGCTCCATGCGCTCCGGAGCACCATATCAAGGCCGTGGACGGGCCACTGTAGTCCCCCGGGCCTGGGTCGGCGGCGGTAGCGGGTACCTGCATGAACGATCTGAGGCTCACTCTTGCACGTTGCCTTGTCACTTCTCGCGATGCGTAGGGATGGCGGCCGGGCAGGCCACCCACGAAGGGGTCTCCGCGTGTTGAAGTGAACGCCGTGCTGATTCTTGTGTTTTGCTTGGTGACCTAGACTCGAATGTGTCTCCCTCCAGATGCCAGCTACCCCAGCATAACATTGCCTGTGTAAAGTCAACATCACCTCGAGTGCCAAAGGTCGAGATCAGGTCAAACCTTTCATGTCATCCACAAGCCCTTCCACTGATCGCCGTCGCGAACACCTGCATACAACCACTGAATCGAGCGTATCTGACATAGAGCCTGACCAGCCAGACCAGGTAGGCTTCGAGAACTCGGCGGCCTACTTCGAAGGCTGCTTCCAAAGGAAACCCAAATCCGTGCGTCCTCAGCCCGCCAGCACATGGCCAGCATCACCGTCCTCAAGCCGCCGATCCCACTCCGGCGGCTCAAAGTCCATGTCCTCATCGTCGTCGCGGCATCCGCACGCCGAGGCTCAATGATGTGGCCTGCAGGCTCTGGTGCCTCTTCGCCATCATCATCGTCTTGTCCGTCGTCTTCCTCGTGTACACGGTCGACGCCTGGATCCGCAGTTTCGCAAGGGCTACGTTCTCCGGCACCGCCATCTTCAAGAACGCCTGGAACAGCACCCTCCTTGTAAATCGTCGAGGGAGCAGCAGCATGCCTGAGACTCCTGTCGAACTCGTCGTCCGCGCCGAGTACCGTTATAAACTGCCGCTTTGAGTTCTGCAGGACGTCCTCTTCCATGCCTCCAACGATGCGCATGAATTACCGACCATCGATGGTGTCGTCTTCGGGTGCAGCAACGCCGCTGTCGCGTCCATGGCGTCGTCGCTCGCAGACTGCGCCGTAGCTCAGTCCGTCATCTCGGATATGACCGACGCCATTACGGCCTTCTTTGACCGCCTGGACTGGGCAGACCGCCACCTGGAGCGATTCGCGGCATCGGCGGAGGCGTGTGCGCAGCTGCGAGACCGGGAGGCCGGCTGCGGGCGTTCTTGTCGGGCCAGAGGTTGTGACAGGCCGACCGTGTCACTACGGACTCGGAGGCGCTGGGTGTGTAGCTGGACGAGGAGCGGAGCGCGCGGTGGAGGCTGTTGGAGAATAGGATGCTGTCGGACGCCGCGGGCATGTCCATCACCCAGGCGCAGTCTGGGATCTGCGCGCAGGTGGACGTGCTGACCAAGTATCAGAAGCTCGTCGGGGCGAGGTACGGTGGGGTGGCTGGTGTTGACCACGATGCCACAGGAAATGTTGCTGCCCGAGAGGGTCAAGATGTCGAAATCAACAAGCTGGCAGCAGCTTTCGAGCGCGCAGAAGATATGGCGAGGCTGGGTTGTCTCGGGGTGATGGCGCACGCCCGGTGCGTGACGACGAGGAGAAGCTGGCCCGACTGCGGGACGAGGTTTCGGAAGTCAAAGCATGTTCGAGGAGCAGTGCTTGGCGGTCGTGGTGAGCGCTGCTCAGGAATATCGGGGCTTCATGGCATGCGTGTATCGTGTGAGTGAGCCGAGAGCATTTTCGTAGGTCGGTCGAGGCTGACGACGTGGATCTCGACGATGTCCATGGCATCCGAGTTCTTGGGTTGTAGAGGCTTGTTGTTGGGTGATGCAGAGCGATGAGCTTAAGGAAATTCAGGGAGTCTTTTTCGTTTGATTTCGTAGGTACCTATCCCATTGACCGGCAGCGGGCGTCAATTAAGTACTCTGCGGGGTCGAACCAATGAACCGTCAGCCAAGAAGATTTGGGCCAATGAAAAAATTCGAGCGCCCTTGAATTTGGAGAAACAGCGGGGCAGTATGTGCTGACGCCTACCTGGGGTACCTAAGGTAGGCACCATCCATAAGGTAGGTACCTACCTTACCTAATGGACCGTCCTGGCAAAAAAATAGCCAGAACACTACGTCACTGGAGCGCGTTCTGGGTGTTGAGGTGGGTCGAATAACATTGTCCGCTCCTGCTTCTCAAGGGAGCTGCCCGACACACCAGAAAGGATTGCAGGAGTAATTATGCTGCTTGGAGCATAATTTAATTGGATGCAGTACTTTTTTTTTTTCTCAGTAGATAGTAAGAAAACACACCATCAGGGAGGAGTGTTCAATTCGCCGCAAAGGTACAGTCACTGAAGGGTGCGACGCGACATCTGGCCTTCCCCGCGAAAACGGCTGGCGGGGCGCAAGTGGCCTGGACTCCCGTCACGCCGGCTCGAACGCGTTCTCCCAGCCACGCATCCTTGGCCAACATCTGAAAGCTGCATCAACCACCAACAAACAATATTGCCAACTCCAACCATCGCTATCGCCCTGGCTACTTTCAACACCACACGTCTCGCCTGCTTGCGTTTTTTTTTTTTTTTTCTCTCGGCCGGCATCCTCCTTCGGTCTCTCCCCACCCTTGACTGCCAGCAAAGAGACAGCACAGCGACCGTCTTTTCTGACGACCTTCTTTGCCGACTGTATTCCACCAAAGAACCCTTTTGCCGCTCCCAGCTGGGAACCGAACCCACCGCCCACAGAACGTCCGGTCCTGTCGCCGAGCCCCTCGCTTGCTACGTTACCAGAATCACCTGTTCCGACGCTGGTTTCCTCGCGCTGGTTTCCGTCACTTACCTTGCCTCTGCTGCAGACTTCATTCGCGCACCGTACCGAGAAGACCGAGCTCGATTCCAAAGACCGATTCCAGGCGCGCCGCGCCGCGCCGATGCCCTCAGACGAAGCCGAGATACCTGCGTAGCGACGCAATCCGCGACCTCCAATGGCAGGACCATCGTGGCGCCCATGGTGATGATTCCGCCGTCGCTTTCTTGATCTTTTTCCTCCTGCAAGCCGTCCGCCTTCTACGCAGACGTCCGCCGGCCTCCCACAACAGTTGGCCAACACCCAATCCCGATGTCGAACCCATCTGCTTAATGAAGAATACTGCTGCTCTTCCCTACTCCTCTTCAACATGCTCCCTTCAAGGCCAAATGTCACCAGTCAACGCAAACCGTTCCACAAACAGCCACACCTCCATTCCCTGCGGGGCTATGAAGGCGTTCGCCCTCTTGCGGAGCCCTTCTCGGGATGACCCTACCGGTTGCAGAAGCAGAGCCTGCCGAGGTCAATGCCAATCGACATTGAACCTGGCGCGGCGATCATCAGAGACGCAAAGCAACACGGGCGTCGATGTCAGCAACGGCTGTCGCTACTGGGAAAACGGGAGCTGTCAAGAGTCAAACTTGTCTGGTTTGACAGTGAAGAGCTGCGGCTTGGGCGAATTCATGTCGGCCGCCCTCATGTTGTCGAAGGTGTTTTACGCCAAGTACTGCAATGCATTGAGGGCGAACGTGATGCCCGTCAGCAGTAGAAGCCCTTCCTACACGCCTCAGCGAATCTTCCTCACGATACCGTCGCTGTCAACACCGTAGCAGCAAGCACATGTGCTTTGGTCTGCGGAACTTGGTACCACCGACCCGAGCACGAACGAGACGCCTCGGTCGATTTCTGATCTTGCAGTCGCTTTTCCCTCGCCGTTAACTGAGCTACTAGTGCGACCTGATGCCCTGTGATGTGCACCGTCGCCCAAATCCAGTTGCCGAGGCAGAGACTCAGCGATCCGCTCGTCCTCATGTTCCCGCAAGCCTTCTTACTCTTACTTCCTGGTAACATTTGCTGCAGCCGATGCATGTTCTCCAACATCACACCACTTCTTATGTCCCCCTTGGAGATTCCTGCCCGAACTCTAGTGATCAGCACCTTTTTCTCACGTGTGATCTAAATAAAATAGACTTGGTGTGCTGTCGTGCCGTGGGAGCTGACCGAATCTGGAGTCTCGACTTAGCGTGTGCAACCACCAAGGCCCTGCCACTTGAAAGCTTGACCTTTAGACCTCCTCGCGCATGTCGCTCAAAACTATCCATGTGACTTTTGGGACCATTGGCCGTGATGATTGGAAGGGCGAAACATAAGGTATCTATATGTCTAGGGGAGCTTTCAACATGCAAGTGGGACCCTTCGGGCTTCAGACAGGGAACATCCACCACCTCGAGACACGTTGAACGAGGGTTTTGCCAAGCACCACCCGCTGTTTCTGTGAACAATCCCCCATGCAAACATGGCGCATTCACCAGGGACAACCTGAGCTTTCAAGAACACGGCAGTGACGGGCGAATTGATTGCGCAGTTTTGGGGGAAAATCTGATGGACGGTCTTGAGGAAAAAGCGTGGATCGTACCCCTCGGCCGAAGATGTCCTTAGATTTGACTATGTGGGTGACCCCTGGAGCTGGGTGGGAGAAGCCAAACACGCTGGTGCATAGACATCCGCGACTTTCCACAATCACCTGCTGAGGTCCAACCACGCCGATGTTGGTGTCTATTATATAACTGTGCAAATGCCCTTCACGATTGACGTTGGTGTTTAGTTCTTCCTGGAAGGCAGTCAAACTGGCTTTACTTGATTGACTTCACCAAAAGAATTTGGCGGTCTGTGCGAGGAGGGAGAATGTATGCTTTCCTGCTTCTGCGAGCAGATGAGCAGGAAAATCAACCCGTTCATGAGGGTCAACCACAAAAAAAAAATCTTGAAGTCAAGGTTGCTCGCCAGTGTCGCTGAAGGGAGCTCTTGTGGATGTGGATGATGGGTGGTTTGGGCTTGGTTGTCTGGGTTCACCAGCTCAGCCAATGTTGCACAGTGGTGCACATGTGGAATTGTTTGTGGTTGCTGGCGGCTGGCATGCTGGCATACTGGCAAGCATAGGCTATGCACTTTTCCCTTTTTTCTTTCTTTTTTTTGCATGCCCTCCAGCATGGGTCATGCACTTAAGCTTCAGCTATGCACTTGAGCATGGGCCCATTCAGGCATAAGCTATGCACTAAAGCTTAGGCCACACACCCAAGCATAGGCCACTCCAGCATATGCCATGCACCCAAGCTTAGGCCATGCACTTGAGGGAAAAAAAAACTTTCTCGTTTTTTTTTAGCATGCACTCCAGCATAGGCTACGCACACCGGCATGGCATACAACTAGTACGGGAAGGTGTCGGAATGTCACCTGCCACAGCGCAGCAATTCTCAGCAACAATTCTCAGCACACGAGCCATCCAGGTTTTGTTTCCTCTTCCCATGCGACGTAATCGCCCTGTTTTGCCATTCCATTGTCATTTTAGTTTTTGAGCGACGAGCTTTTGGTCGCTCACCACAGGGACCTTCCCCGCGGAATTCCCTGCAGGCCACTGCACCAAATGGCCGGGGGCTCCCAGCACCACGTCGGCTGGGCCCGGGGGCGGGGCAGGGCGGTCCGCATGTGAGTGATCCCGCGGCTCAGAAAAAATGAGGTCATCGCGAGTTACGAAAAACCTCGCGATGACCTTACTTCCCGCACACGGCTCGGATTAAAGGCAACTCACCTTCCTCGTTTCGTGGTTGATACTCGTACTGACCGGGAAAGGAACGAAAAGTCGCTGCTTGTCGTGATGAAGACAGCGTCTGTAGACTCACGATCTCCGTTGGTGGCGGATGGGAGTACCGGGTTCTGTAAGTCTAGTAACGAAGGTAAACTCGTGTCAAGCCCGCAACTCGTCTCCAACGCAGTTTCCGGGGCCCATCAGTATTGAACTCACCTCGCCGCTTCTCTTCCTCTATGGCCATTCCCCGACCCTGATCAGACATGTTGAGGCAACGCTGAACTATTGAGGTCCGTCAGGGCTGCGCGATATGCTACACGCATCGCGCACGCCGTGTTTCTCATCCGAAGGCGTGGTAAAAGGCGTGCGTAAGTCGACAAAAAACGTTGTGTATGTGTTGAGAAGAAGAGGTGCGAGGGGGTTACTCTTAAGGGTATGTACACCCATTGGAAGATCCGACGTATGCATGCCGTCGCGACCGAAGTCAACTACTGCCGTAAATACGACCGGAATAGCAGAGGCTCACGGCTGCCAGCGTTGTTCCTCTGCTCACTCACGACGAAACCCATTGGCGGCGTTGCCCGCGCATATCACGGAGCTTACTTTGGGACTTGTTCTGGCGTCATGGTTGCGTCTGTTGTGGTTGTTGGTCGTGGCGGGATGCTGATCGTGACAAAATGAAAAGAGTTGAATCCGTTGAAAGTCTCTGCGACGTTGAAAACGAAGCTCCTGGTGGAGGAGGGCTTCTTGTTGGAGCTGTCTGGAGAGGGTTGGTAGGGATTGCACCGACAGAGGGGACTGGAGTGGTCGCTCTAGTCATGCTGGCGAGGAGGCGCGTCTTCGGGCGCGCGGCACGGAGCGGGCTATGTGAGGAGCTCATGAATCCAAGTCCTGTTTTGGCACCTCGGAGAAGTGGTCTCTACTCGTCTGATACGAGCTTAGACATTCTTGCTCCCGCATCCCCGTGCAGGGATAACAACTTTTTGTGTCTCTGTGGTTCAGGGTTGAGAAGATTTAGCGGTGGCTTGAAAACGTTGCCTTGAGAACGGTGGACCGATGACGATGCATTGAGTTCGGCTGTTTTGTGACCGGGGAGTTTTCCTGCGTGACTTCTCCGGCGGGCGCCGGGTCCGGGCCGGGCCGGGAGGCGTCGGGAGGTGTCGTTTCTAGGGGACGGCCTGCCGGCTGAAGCAATAGTGGTGAGTTTGCCCACACACAACTATAGAACGGTAGCTTGGTAATAAAAATGTGTGGTTTGCAAATCAACCGAGATATACGGCAGTATCCATTGTGATCTAGGTTTTGGTTCAAGCGACTTTGTGAGAAATTCAGACCTGAATGAGAGACTGCATAATGTTCGATTCTCGAAACTCGTGTTTCCTATTAAGTGAGCGATTTAATTGGGGATAATGTGCATGCAGTTTATACTCAACCTCCTTAACTAAATATTTGTCCTTCTCCCTTGATGCTGATTCCCTTGATGCTGATGACGGCCGAGATGATGGCCTAGACTTCCGACACAACCGCGCCGGCATCCCGCATCTTCCAAGCTGGTCGGGGCCACATATCCTTGAATAGCCCGTTTACACCGTCGGCATCAGCGTCGTCTTCTTCAAGCTGCACTACCAGGAAGTCAACTTCGGCAGCTGGGGCCTGTGTCGAAGTCGAAGACGGTCTCGCCTAAGACTTGGGTATCTCGCTGACGGGAACTGCGCCCTGGTATTCCAATTGCGGTGTTCCCTAGAGAATCAATGTAGGAGGACTCTCGCTGAGCGTTTCCCGACGCAATAGATAAGCCTTCGTGGCGACGCGTTGCTGAGGACTGGTGAGTGCGGGTGAACAGGTCAACGAGTCACGAGCTCTTCTCTCTAGTTATGCCGGTGCACACTTCCACAGTCTTGAACTCTGGCTGTTTGCGTCTTGTTCCGGTCTCGAGATTTGCGCTGTGGCGCAGAGATGTGCAACGCAGAGTTTCCAACTGCGAGAGAAACCGAAATAGCACTGGTGACCGTTGAAACGCCTTGTTCTTGGACTTGGTCAAAATCTCTGAAATAGCGAGGAGTATCCTCCTGTGGCGAACTTTGGTACGAACGAATTTGTTGCCCAAATTCAAGATATCTATGTTGCAGGGTAGAATAAGATATAGAGGTAGACGTGAGCTCAGATCGTCTGGCTCCCACAAGATAGAGCACGAGGGGGAGAACCGACAAACCAAAGCCTGTTACGTGCCTTGTCTGTGAGTGGTGAGAGGAATTTTGCTAGCCGACAATGTTTTACATTAGATATGGTATGTAGCATCTGTTTAGATGGAGTGATGGTTGCCGAAGTCTGCGCTGCGACCATGGTGTCGAAGCCGAAGTTCAAGGCAGGGTCAGACGTGGTGAGATTTGGCGCGTGGATGACTTCGCCATCGTCGTGATCGCCGTCTTCATCGGCCTCACTAATCTTGAGGTGCTCGTAGAAGGTGATCTTGCGCGGCTCAGAGGCAGCGTTGCCGGGACCTTTAATTGGGGTAGGGTTGGAACGAGGCCACAGGGGATGCCAATAAGGTCGTTTGAGGAGGGCTGGAAACAGCAGGCATGTCACAGGATCTCGAGGATGGTTATAATAGTGCAAGACGTCGAAGTTGGGGAAGTCTGCGGTCCAGCTTTCAACGTCTCAAGATCATCGGGCAGGTCGATAATTTGAGAAAAGCGTCTGGATTCCAACCGCGGTCGCGATCAACATTCACAATTAACTAAGGCCCAAAGAAGCTTGGATTCGAGCAGATTTAGACCGTCGCGCGACGTTCAAGAATTATGAAGGACATCGCTCGGATTCAGGGGTCTGGTCGACGTCAGAGGCGAGCAAGAACAAGGTCGAGAAAAGTTGAGATCTCAAAGGCCGCTGGACTGCGATACAAGCCGGCTCCAGTATTCTCCAATAAAGACCCACTTTACCTCAACCACAAAATTTGCCATTGGCTCGAAAAAAACACGTCCCTCTGTTGATTGGCTGATATCCCGCACTCGAAGTACTGCAGTTGACACTCAATGGGAGAAGTCCAATTGAAGTCCGGATCGAAGTTTGAGCGCAGTTCACTTGAAGGAAAACGACATCACGTAATTTGGATGCATAGCGACCGAGTGGCAGGCAGTGTCGCGGAATAGCTTGAGAGAATATGGCGGTATATCAAACGTCGAATTTGGTTCTCCTTGAGGGAGTGAGATGTCCGTTCCGTGTTCATGAGTCCGGCAAATGCTGCGTCCGGCCCCACTAGGTTCGGGGCGGGGCCGATGTCGCGTGTTGGCGAGGCATGCTTTCTGAGACTGGGCCCGCACCAGCTGTGAGACTATCACCAAATTTACGTAGAGAGCATAAAGACTCTTGAAAATGCAGCGAGGAGACGTGGACAAAAATAAGGCGACTGCCTCAGAATCAGCTGTGCGTAGATTGCCGAGACCGCGAGGTGGCGGTGATGTATGGGACGGCCTGGCAATTGTGACATTTCTAAATTATTGCAATCAGTTGGAATCGTCTGAGTGCCCGAGAACCCAGACGATATGAGACCGACCGGGGTGATGCGGCGCAGAATCGCGCGCGGGTACACTGCAGGCTTCTCAGTGGCCGTCAAACGAACCGCAACCAACAACGTCAATACTGATTCGTCCGCTTTACGACGTCAACGGCATTGCGTTTGCCAGTTTGGATACTCATGTCCCAACAATCATCCGGAACATATCACGCGCAAATGAACCCAGACCCGCGTCATTGATTGCGAGATGCCGCGGGGGCCCCCAATATGTGGGGTTCATATCATTAATTTAGGTTGTGTTGGAGGCATCTTCTGGCGCCTGGTAGTCGCGGAATCGGAGGGGATTTTGTTTGTTGATCAAGTCACCAACGGGCCACCAACTCCACATCACATCCTGACCCTTTCGTGGCCTCATCTGGGGTGCCGTTGTTGGTGGTGATTGTTCTTGTTGGTGGTGACTGGATGCACCCCTCGAGGAGCGTTCGAGTACCCTGCCCGCAGAAGGAGCAGTTTTCCGAATCTCATTATCTCAGCGCTAGAGGAATCGCTGCACCGTTACCAACGTCGAAACATTGTGACTGGTCTTGCATCCGTGTGAATGGACTGTTTATATTTTCTCTTTCCTCTTTACAACTGGGTTATGCACTCCTTCGAGATAACGACCCCCTTTCCAGGAAGCCGATCCTTCCCTCGAACCAAGCACGTTCGCTCCTTCCAGCAAGATTAATTGACACCAGTCGCATTGGAAGCAAACATTCTCCCTCATTCAACTTCAATCCCGGCTCCAGCAAGACCCACGAACCAACAGTCTTTCACAACACGCGGCGACCTCCACAACGGACCCCATCAGGAAGATCCAAGGCCAACTTGAGCCGCTGAAACTTCGACTCGCAAGGATGGCAGGCAAACATCACCACCAACATCAGCGCCACCGTCAGCGCCAACGCCAACACCAACACGCTCGACGCCAACATGATCAAGTACACAATGAACATGGGCTCCCGAACTCGAGAGGCCGCACAATACCTTTCCATCTCGAAGGCTAGGCGAGGCAGACATAAGTACCAACCTCGTCCGACCCGCTGAGCAAGCACCGACCCGTTCTCGAAGGTTGCCCGGCACCAAGTTCCTTCATCATCTTTCTCGAGTCTAACGTCGTGGATCGCTTCCATTTCCTATGTTGCAAGCTGTTCTTGGTCTTTTACTTCACATTCAGTATCCGAAGTAGTAAAAGACGTGTCGGTATGACCCAGACATGATAAAAACAACCAGCAATCTCCCGCTAACCAGCTTCACTCCAGGTGTCGAGCAAGTCAGCCTCTAAACCTTCTATACAACCCAGAGGCCCTCCGAGAAACGATCCTCCGGCATGCAGCGCACGCAGACCAACCCGAATCTCCCCATCGTCAGCCCGAGTGCATCCACAGACAATCCCCAGCCAGCACCAGACAAGCGCTTGGTCCAGATGAACATCGAGAAAGAGCTGGCTTCCCTGACGACCACCCTGTGTCTGGTGAAGATCGAGGACGCCTTCCCGTCCCGGCCACGAGCATCATCCAACTTGGAAGCTGTACTGCGACGACTGTGGATGGAGGGCAAACTGGTGCGCAGAGACGTGCGCATGCGCACGAGGGGGAAGAAGGACAAGGCCACCGCCGCGCCAGGAAGCAGACTACGGCGACGACGACGCGTTGCCGACCGGGACCAGCGGGGCGTCATTCCAAACGTACGGTGAGGTGACTCTGTCCGTGAGTCAAGAGGGGGAAACACAGCTGGGCTCTCTGCGCAGGTCTCGAGTATCTCCGAGGCTCATGCATGGAACAGCTCGATCGGTATAGGACGGCATCATCATCTCGAGAAAAACGAGCGTAGGATCCGATGTTCGTTTATTTGGGGTCCTGGGCATGGTGGAAGGGAGGGAGGGCATACGAGAGCGATCGCAGGCTACGTCGCGCAGTGATGACGGGATGGTGGCGAGGAGATCGCATCGTTGGATTGTGAGATCAACGACTGGAAGTTGGAGGTTGCTCCGCATCCGGCTGGAACGCCCACGACGACTGTCATTCGGGTTGCGGAACGAGATCTTGGGGCATGGAAGGTTGAACGAGGCAGTCTAGCGCAAAGGCCTGGCCCTCCGCCACGACGACTTCAGACCAATGCTCCTGCAACCTCCTGGCTGGCGATGCGCCATCTTTCACCCTCCTCTTGTAGCACGTAGATGGGTTTGGGTTGTCCGCTGTTGTGGTTGTTGTATGATCACCCAGGCAGATGCGCAATTCGAGGACGGTGGAAGCCCAGGGTTCCTCCGTCAGAGTGTATACAGTCGTCGTATGAATCGAATAAGGGTCTGGCAACGTTGGACGAGGCAGTTGAGCCTTCACCCGACTCTCGCTTCCATGCATAACATTTGGCCAGCACGTACTATGCTGGTACAGTCGGCATCATCTCGTGAAGTTGCTGGTCAGCCTTCAGGAGAGTTCCACATGAGAGAGGGATCACTAGACATCAGGTTGGAGGGAGAGGAGATGTTGGCTGTCAGCGAGGCATGCGCGACGAGTAATATGCGTTGCCACTAGAGTCGAGGTCACAATGGAGATTGGGAAACCTGCAGGCGAGGTACAGAGCAGACGAGTCGGCGAGGAAGACTTGGAGCACCTTCTTATCCCTCAAGACGTCCAGCGCCCCAAGTTTGTGTGGGAGGCTTTGGACAGTTGTTCGACAGGTGGTGCGCATGCTAGAGAAAGCTCGTTGGAACACTGTTCACGCAGATACTGACGCGCCTGGAAGGGAGGGACTCAACACGTAGCTGCGTCCGTAGGTTGGAAGAAACTAGCTGGATGCAGCCGTCTGGATGGGGTCACCGATTGAAAAGTCGACGGGTACACCTCATGTTGCGGCCGGGATCGGCTATGCGTGCTTTTCTGACGCAGACGCAGCATCTGGGTGTGGTCTCGAGAGTCACGAACTGGGGAAATACGTTGGAAGGTCGCCAAGGTGGGTTGGCGGAGGCGAATTGAGCGCCTTCGGTCGGCGCGAGAAGATGTTGGCGGTGAAGGTGGAGATGGAAAGGCCCTGATGCAAGGACCTCACGAGAAGATCTTGGAGCAGCGGCGGAACCCCTTTGGCAGCGTTGAGGTTGAGGTCACGATGCGATAGCAGTCGACTGTTCGGAACCACAGCCACGAGACGCACATCGAGATCAAGTCATTTGCTCCACCACCAACATCATCACCAAAGGGCGTCATCACGAAGGACAGCGCCATAAAGTCACGTTTGCTTGAGAACGGCCGTCTTGGACCACAGCCAGCACTCGGTCTCGATCCATCGCCGAAGCAGTTGAAGCACAGCTGGGATCTGGTAGACGCCCTGCATGGTAATAGTCGATCCCATCAGCGTCTTGGTCCAAGGTTCGGGAACACCGTCGGCCTTGCTCGTGACGGCAACGAGCCGCCATTCGCGGCCTTGCACCACAATGCCAGGGAGAGGCCTCAGTCTCTCCGCCGCCGCCGCAGGACATGGGCGCACGAGCAGACGACTCGAAGGCGTAACTAGGTCATACAACGAATCCCACTGAGCGATTAACCAGACCGCAATCCGATTCACGGCATTGGCCCACCCGTGGCTGGCAATCTTCGTCTCGACAGAGGTCGATCGGTCTCCGAAGAGGACCGGGATAGTCGGCAAAATTGATCGATTTCGTGGCCGAAGCTAGGACCGCCGCGTCGAGATCCAAGCAGGTTTCCCTGGCGTAAACACAAAAGCCAACCTTCCTGTTATGACTGACGGAGTTGTCGGATCTCGTAGTGTGGATCTGCGCCGATGTGCTGCTCGCTGTCAGCCATGCCCCCGCGGCGAGATGATCATGAGCCTACCAGTCGTATCCGCCGATGCCTTGAATGTGTTCGAGCGCGTTGTGTAGCAACGGTCGGTGAATCGCGGTGTTCCACTGTCTTTCTCCATGATGGACCGTCTCCGCATCATACGCCTCAACCAAGTCTCCCGAGGCGTATGAAATTGATGCGGTCGGACCCAGTTCGTCTCGTTGGAGGGGGGCGCGGTGATATCGGGTAACGGGTGGCCGGATGGCAAGCGGCCGGGTCGCGAGGAAACGTGTCGTCTCGAACCCATCGGAACTGGTGATTCGTCGAGTTTCGTCGAGACTTCGGTCGGAAGAGATGCCTGTGTCGGGAGTGATTAGCTTGACGCGAAACATGATCTGGAAAGGTCACCAACCTCGTGGGTACGCGCGGTGATCCCAGAACCCCTTCCCAGAGCCTCATCGCGGCTGAGGAGATTGTAGAGCTTGGGAGAGGGCGCAACCGGCCCGTCAAAGCCCATGTATACGATGGAGTTCTCGACGGCCATGAGGTTGGAGTGTTTCCGAGGATTCGTTTGCACTTTTCTTTCCGGAGACGTTTCCGAAGATGTCTGGAGCGACGTCTGGCTGGCTGGCGAAGGTGACGCAGCTGGCCTCGGACTCTGCCGTGAGACGAGCCGTCAGAGAGGAGTGTGTTCGTGGAGCCTCTGGGGTTGGCTCGAGGTCGAGAGTGGTATCATCGGGATTCGGTTGCATCCGCGGAACGAGGTTTCGACGGGGGCGGTGGCCGGGGCATCGGCTTCGTGGAACTCATGTCGTTTTGTGCAGGACCGAGGTCCTTCGTGTCGAGCACATCACCGGCGCACGTTGCCCTGTGCGAGAGGCTGAACGGAGAAGACGGAAGACGGTGCGGCGAAAGAGAGATGCAGAAGTTGGCTTGCATTGGCGACTCGATGTCGAAATGAGCCTGCCCTCGCTGAGGGGCAGTAGAGGGAGTCGGCGGAACCTAGCGAGGACAGCCGATCGGAAACGGTGCCATCTTTCAGCATGAGAGAAATCGGGGATGATCGAATAGAGGCGCGTTTTCGAGGAGTCGACGGAGTATTTGCTGCGGAAGCTGGGGTTCTGAGGATGGAACCTGGCGATGCGGCGGCTTGCGGCGTTGGAGAAGGGCACGGTTCGGAGGGACCCGACATTGCAACCCATTGAAGTGACCTGGCAAAAGTTCCATATAAATGGTACCTTAGGTTAGCTAGCTGTGGGAGCCCGTGGACCTGAGCGTTCTGGTAAAAAGAAAAAGCCAGCTCACGTAAGGGTGGCTCATTCATGTACGTGCGTAGGTCGGGAAAAAAAAAACCAGAAAAAAAAACAGCTGGAACTCACCTGAGAGTGGAGTGGCCCAGGCCCGGGGGTGCTGCCTGCTCCAGCTGCTTATGTAAGCCCTGCTCGCCCAGCCAGAACAACCTCGACACCGTCGACCTGAGGTGCCTACCTCGGGGATTTTGGAAATATCGCAGGTAGGTAGATACACATAGTACCTACCTCCGGCCTGAGGTCCAGCACCCGGGGCAAACGGTTGAAAAATGCCAATTGGTTTGGTTTGGTTTGATTTCCATTTCCATTTTCATTTTTATTTTTTAGTTGAAAAATGCCACCTAGAAATTTAATCAAACCAGAACACAGGCAGTTGGTACATCGTCAGTTGGTACATCGTCAGTTGGTACATCGTCAGTTGGTACATCGTCAGTTGGTACATCGTCAATTGGTACATCGTCAATTGGTCTATCGGCAGTTGGCAGCTTGTGTCCGTGCTGCTGGTCGAGGAAGCAATGCTTAGTAAGCCACGCTTAGTAAGGTCACCTGCCGTGACCAATTTTTCTGGTCACAGCTGGGCGCCTGCCATGACCAAGTTTACTGGTCATACCTCGGCGCCTGCCGTCTCAAGCAAGCTCAATGCTTCCCGTCAATAACCAATCCACGACATGACCGCCATCGCTTCGCTGTCCGCCGCCCATTCCACGCCCACGAATTGATGCCGGATTCTCCGTTCGCGATTGCACCCTTTGTTCTGCACCTCAATTACCTCGTCGTCGACCCAGCTGGAACCCCACGCTGCGGCCTGGCCTTCGGCCTTGCTCGACCTCGAAACCTTGCGTCATCGTGCCCACTGCAGCACCAAGATCTCTACATTTGGCCATCCTTCCTAGCACCAACTCACCAAACTGTTACGTTCGCTTGTCTGATACCCCAGGCACGTTGGCATTGCGCACTCCCTCCATTGTCATGTCAATTGCTAACCCGTCTTGTTCGCAGCGTCCTTCACATCCACGAAACCCTCCACTGGCTCGAATCGATACGCAAGTGCTCAGCACGTCCGTGGCCCTCGGCCGTCCCCTCGTCCCGAATCAATACATACCAGAACCAGTTCATGCGCGGCCCCAACCCACGACCTCATACCTATCGCCTTTGCTACACGAGTACTGTACCTGATGACCCGATCGCGTCCAATTGGTTCGATCTTACCTCCAGGCCATCAAAGTGTTGCTGGCTTCCGGTCCAGTTGGGCAGGTCAATGAACGAGAACTCGGCTTCTGCACTTCGTCGCGACGAGCGCCCAACGTTTACCCTTCCCTACCTCCGACAAGACTCGGTGTCATTGCGACCCGGTTGCCGCACTCAGATGCAAGCCATGCCGTCGTCAACATCGAACGCAAATGTCATCAGGGGCGCCGAGGAGCGGCATGCAATCACGTCTGTAATGCCGATGACTGGCCGCGACGTTGCGTGGACGACTACGAGTCCAAGTTCAAGAATATCACGGCCGACGTCCGTGACCTGAAGCTGCGTCGCATCGCGTCGTCGGTAACAACCTGGCCTCAACCAGCATGTCCACCCTTCACTGTCTGCGATTCCGGAGATGCACCTGCCGAATCCACGATCGATAGTGCCATCTTACACCGCAAGACTGGAACACAAGCGCTCTGCAACCATAGGGCCACCGATGAACGGAGCTCCATCCTAGCGGACTTCTTGGAGGGCGATGGACAAGGTCTCACGCATGTACGCCAGCACGGGCTCAACCAAGTTCTAGACCTCGCCGGGCGTTTTCGAATGCTTCTCCGACAACCTCTCGGCTTGTGCAACTGGATGAGCGGTTTACTTCTGGACGCCATCTTCCTCCCATGGACAACGGCAACGCACTCTCGGTACACGTCTGATTCCGAGAACGTCGTGGTTGTCTTCGATGTTAGCACCATGCCGATTTTGCGATACACCTCTCTGCCTGGACGTTCACCGTCCTTCGCCAGCAGGTCGTCCCAACTCCAGCCCTTGCGACACCAGAGCGTCTGGCCCAGGGATCGAGTCATCGCCGTCTTTCACGATGCCCTGCTGCCAACACAGCCAACTCCGTGAACCATGCGCGAGCATCCTCCATCTCTACGCCGTCCGCCCCGTCCCATGGCCGCTTCCCCCCGCAAAAGTCCACTACAATACACGACTGAGTGTGCCGTTGAGTTCTCGAGGGTCCCTCGTCGCCGCAAACCAAAGACGCCCCTGTCGTCTCGTCTACATTGTCTGCAGCCACAACACTCCCGGCCTCTCCGAAGGCAAAGAGGGAAAACTTAAACTCCCTGAAGACACGTTGCCATCATCTCAGACCCCACCCTTCAAGAACGACGCACTCGCCGGCGCAGCTTGAACTTTCCTCGGCAACGGTGCCGTCCGCATGGAGTTGATGCACCACCGGGCTTACAAGGTGCAACTAGTCATCCAAGCAGTCCATATTGCCGATGTTGACTGCCCCCTGCGCGAATACCTCTGCCTACCAGTGTCCAGCACTGGGCTGGTTCAAACTTCCTTCACAGCGAGCGGCAACGTCGCTGGGAAATTGGGAACCACGTCCGCTTTCCCCGAAAAGTACACAGCTGAGAACATCATCTGGTGCATGCCGCGAGAAAAGCCTAGATTCTTGCTATGTTGCCTAGACATAAGTCGAGATCGTCCGTGGCCGGGAGTTCCGATTATCAACCAGAAGACGCTCCACCCTGATGCTCCTGTTCATCCCTCGCTTTCGGATGGTTGTGTCGCAAAACGTTCCGATACCAATCCCAAAACTCCCGCTTCTCCTGTTCCGAGTACTGTCTACGTGGCGGCGTCTCCGCATCTTCCTCGGCATGCGACGGCCCCGGTGTAGCGGCCTCTGCGGTAACCGTTCGACTTGGGACTTGGTTCGTTCGCTGCTGCTCCTCACTCTGCAAGTCCATGTGAGAGAGTCGGTCGCTAATCTCGACTTCCTCAGTGGCCGCATCCTGATCTTGACCTTCAGCATCCTGGTCTTGAGCTCCAGCATCCTGTGATCCGTCAGCCCCTTGATCGTTCTCTCCGGGTGTGTTTGTCACCTGGCCCTGAGCATCCTGCCTCTCCTCCGCCTGTGCCTCAACCCAAGTGTCCCTCCATCTCTTGACCGTCCCACGCATATACGTCCCAAATTGCCCTACGCTCTCCGGGTGGGCGTTCCAAGACTTCTTCCAGCCCTCCTCGCCGGCCACCTCTACATCCCAGCCGAGATATTTGAGATACTCATGGCCCGGGTCAACTTCGTCGATGACCGCCAGCTTCATGCTCTGCTCGTCGTGTTCGAGGAGAAGGTTCCGGAATCGGTAGATCTCTCGCGCGACCGCCTCCTTGTCAACGGTTGGCAGCTTGGAGGCCATCTCGCGTTTGTGCTCGGACGCCAGCCGGTCGATGCTGCCTGTCCCACCCGACGTTAGCTTTCCGTCGCACTCGTCAGGGACTTCACGTACTGAACTTCGCAACAACGGTGCGGAGAGGTAGGCGATCGTTTCTTCTCCGGTTGCTGGCCTGCCGTTTTGGCGTCTCTGGCATGGCATGCGAGTATGAGACGTCAAGGGAATCGAATCTCAGGCCTCAGCCGTGGTGATACGGGGACGTCTCCGTGGAGACGTCTGCCTTGTTTGGTATTCTGATGTTGGGATGCTTATGTACGGCTTCATGGTGCGAGCTTTCGGCAGGCGACCGGGAGGCATGTCATTTGTGACACTCGACAATGTCTCGGGAGTCTTGGAGTTCTTTCATGGACCAAGACCACTTCAGACCACTTCCTGTTCATGCTGGTCAGATCAAGCCGAGCCGAGCGAATGGTTTTCACGTATCCGAGACACTGGTTGCTGAAGTTCTGCCAGATACCAATCGACAATTCTCGAAACTACCAAAGCTCGACCCATTTGCGGCAAGTCTCTATCTCTACCAATAGCCACTCATACTTCAAACGGACAATCGACCAAGACCTTTCTCTCCATCCCCGCCAATGTCAAAGCACTGACTGTTGCAACTTTCCCCCAACGCAAACGCGCCTCACCGCCATCCCACCCGGCGCCAGAACTCCCCACAGAACTCATTTGCAACGCGCCACTTCCCGTCCGGATATCTCGCCATCTTGCTGAACTTGGGCTCCACGTCCACGAGATACCGGATCCGCGTCGCGTCGTCCTCGAGAGCGTGAGCAATGTCGAACGTCACGTCCAGCACGACGGCCGCCCGGGGGTCTCCGCTGGCGTGCCTCGCCCAGACGGAGTTCCTCATCCGCGCGATGGCGAGCGTCACCGCCCTGTGCGCCTCGGCGTGGTTTGCCGCGCCGGGGTGCGCCGACAACTCGGGCGGGTGGAAGGGCGGCGCGCGGGGGTCGAGCTTGAGGAACGTGAAGGGATCTTGGAAGGACGTGGGACGGCGGCCGTAGAGGTTGTAGAGCGAGTCGAGGGCGGAGCAGATGTTGTCGACCTCTTGGTTGATCTCTTCTTGGTAGATCGTGTTCATGTGGTCTGAGGAGGCTGGAAGATGTTTCGGGTTGTCCGTGGAAGAGAAGAAGTACAAATGGAGAACGCGGAGGAATATCGTCAGAGCGATTGCCACGATGATGTAGGTCTTTCCGGTGCTGCGTCGCCGTGAAAGCATGCTGGTCGTCTTCATCTCGGTCTCGACGTTGTGGGATGGGATTTGGATTCCAACTTGGCTCCCGCGGGCCGGCGAGGATATATGCGAAAATGGCAGAAGGTACTGGCACGTCCGGAAGTGGCCGCGTGAGGGCGTCGTTTCAGGCCAAGTCTCGACCCTTTTTGTCAGTTTCGTCTCTAGCCGGATGGTCTTTGAAGCGGGGAGTGCTGTGATGGGTTGACGCATCGTTCCCATATTGTTCTCTTTGGCCCAGTGTTGTCGCCAGATAGCCAGAAAAGCCACCAAAGTGTGACATGATATGTGACAGCACCTGCTTCCAGATAATTCGTACCGAGGTTCCTAAGTATTTGATGACTCCGGACTTGTGATCCATAAGTATCAAGAGATTTCAACTCATACTGCAGCTTCGCATATCCTCTGGACTCTCCTTACCTCTTCGTTCAAGGTCTTATCTCAGCCAGACCACCAACCTCACACCATGGCGGATAGATTTGAGCGAGCGTTCAGGTTGCAGCAGGAACTGAATCGCAGGGGCGTTTCGATGCCTCGCCTCCTGAATGCAAACAACTCACCCGCCATCTCGTCCGCGCCGAACGCTGCCGAGAACCGCCCAACCCCCTCCCCGCAGCCGCAGCATCGACAGACAGTCCCCCCGGCGACGCGCACCGTCGACCAAACGGCCCGGGGCCGCGACGAAGTGGCTTCATCTTGGTCGTTTCCCGCTTTCTCCGAGATCCGGCGCCGCGTGAGCGACGGTTGGAGTTGGACAGCCGAGACGGTAGCATCGAACTTGTGTGAAGTCTGGCACGTTGCCGGATTGATGGGGGGATGCGTTCGCGTCGTCTGGATCTACGTGCATGGAGTCAGCAGTCCTGTTCTGTGCTTTATTTGGCGACCGATCAAGTGGGCTCTCATCATCGTCGTCATCGTCCTCGTTGTGTTGGCCGCCTTGTTCGGAATCGCAGTCCATCTCTGGGACGCATCCAACCTAGCAATCCCATTATCCTTCGTCCTGTCTCTAGGGCAGGGCATCACAAGAACCATCACTTCCTGGGCCGTCTGGACCACGAGCAAAATCCATGCCAAACCCCTCGGCACGAACACCGTCCTCACCATGACCGCATCGGTCTCGCCAGCACCGGCCTTCACCCCGGCTCTGCCCGTGGTGTTCATCCCCAAGGGTCTCGCGCCCGAATTCAGAGACTTCGAAAACTGCATGGACTACCTCAGCAAGATCCCCATCGGAGCGGTACAGCCGAGGAACGTGCCCAAGAGCGTGAGCATAGTTTGGGACGTGCTGGCGGGCGGCGGTGACAACGTCGGATCCCGGAACGAGGGGAGTCTCACCGGTCCGATGGCCTGGAGTTCCATCTGGGACCAGATCCACCCGTCGCTCAACACGATACGAGTTCACAACGTACTCGTCACAGCGAACGAGACGCGCCAGTTCGAGACGGAGTCGGCGCAGGCAGCGCGTCTCCTCCAGGACATGCGCCAGCGACCGGCCGCCGAGGAACCGGCCAGAACCTCGGGGTTCCTGGGCTGGCTGCGCGCGCTGTTCGGTCCCGATGGCGTCGAGGAGGCCAGGAAGCAGCTTGTCAATGTGCGGCTGAGCGAAGTCGGCAAGATGGTCGAGAAGTCCCGGAATTCGAGGCAGTGGATGCACGATACCGTGCGGAACATCCCGGACACGTCGATGAAGGAGGTCAAGGAGACTAGAGTCACGTTCTGGACTTCAGTCACGTTCTCGACTTGACTCACGCTTTGAATTTTGGTAATTTATTATTAGTACTGTCAATTGATGTGTTTTCTCAATGCCTTCCCGTGTTTCATGGAGAAGAAGGGGGCAGCTAGCAAACTTGCGAGCAAACAAACAGAATAAACGAGCCGCTCTTGGCGATGATTGTATTCAGTCGTTTCCGTGGCACCCTTGCGCTTCCGGATTTGGCACGCACGTGCAATCCTTTGTTTGCCTTCTCAATCAACTGAACCTCGCGAACGCATGTCCACTGACGGCATCCCGAGTCTAAAGCGCGCCTCACCTCGCCGGACACTGCCAGCATGGAGTCACATCTGATACGAACATGCGCCGAGCCATGCGACCATCCGCAAGACGGCTTCACCATGCTCCGCCTCTCCCTCAAAGTCCCATACGCACCGCGATCGCACCGCCGAGGCTCCGAGGCCTCCGAAAACGACAGCCGCCTGCAGTCACTAGAGCTCTGCTTTCACGACGACTTCGCCCCCGATGATGCGCAGCCCATCTCCCTCCACTTTCGATCGAACGACACGACATGCTTCAAGACGTCGCTGGTGTATCCGACCCCGACGCCGCCATGTTATATCCACGAGCTGGGGGCCATCATGGACTTGACCACGCCGTGGGGACCAGAGATGGAGGAGGAAGATGACGCTTCCATCTCGGATCGAGAGGCGTCACCAGATGGGAATGAGGGACCTGCAGTATTGTCTCTGTCACAACGCTTGGGGTCGCTATACGGTTCGATATTCTTCTGTGGGATGGGGATGATGCTTCTGGTGGGATTGGGGATGGCCGCGCTGTGCTTCACGCCGTGCTTCACGCCGTGGCTTCGACCACCACAGTCATCACCAGAGTTCGTTTTCCGTCACAATGTCTCGGCGAAGAACGTCTCCCTCGCATTACACCGTCAAATCCTCCAGCTCGAGCACCTCCGCATCTCGTCGGTCCAAGACCTCCTCTCTTACGCAAAGGTCGAACGAGACCCGGACTTCCACGAAGTTTCCTCCCTCATCGAAGCCCTCTGCCAGACCACGATCCACATCACGAGCATCCAGAAAGGCCACCGCGACGAGGAGGCCGAGATGGCGTGCAGCTCCCTCATCTGGCACTCCACGATCATGAAGTCCCACTGGCGTTCCGTCGGCGCCGAGACGCTCCACGACTGGCCCAACAAGACGCTCAACGCGTTGCGGCGCACTCACAACGGAATCGATCCCGATTCGGGGACTCGGCGGGTGGCCTGGGTGTACAAAACCCTGGAAGACGCAGACTGGGTCCGGTCGTGCAAGTTCTGCGAGTGGGATGCACACGGGGTTCGCGGGTGGCACTTTGCCTGCGAGGAGAGCTTTCGCGCGCTGCTGCCGGCCTACACCACCGACGTGCCAGACGACGTGACCGAGAGGGCCAGAGAGTACCTGGGCGACTGGGCCGATCGGCACACCCGCCGGCGCGCCGAGACGATGCGAGATCCCGGATGGAGCGTCAAAGGCGGTCTCGACGGGCATCCGATCGACTCGTGTCCCGAAATCACGAACCACAAACTTGGGGTCGAGGACAGTATTGTCTCCGTCGCGCGGCACATGTTTGAGATGAGGGCGGACTTTCGGCGGCTCGCCGTTTTGCTGCAGAAACACGGGCTCGCTCCGGGACTGCGGCGGCTCCACCCGGACAGCCGAGCCTCCGCGCACCCCACTCCAATGCCGACCGTGTCTCCACAGGCACGGGCGACGGCGACCCACACCGATTCGCCGATGTACCGGATGAGACGCATATTCCGGGACAGCCTCGGTATGGGAGATGCTCCGTCCAGCTCCGCCATGGATAAATACATAGCAACCATCGACTCGAACGCAGTCAAGCTGTCCGTCATCTTGGACAGCCTGGAAGACTTTGAGCGCGCACTCGCACGGGCAGCGCTGGGCCACGTCAGCGCGTGCACGCTCGGGAGGGACTTGTGGAAGTACCTCGGCGCCTTGAACAAGGGTATGGAACCATCAGCCTGGGACGTGGCTGTTGAGGGCGCCTCTCCCGCGGCGGCGGGGACGCCCCAGACGGTCACCCTCCAGGTGTCGTATACGAGCTATACGATGGACCCCGTCGAAGCGGCTGCGAGGCTGGCGGACGGGGTCGCTCATCTGTCGTCCGCGTTCCCTCCGTTTCCGACGCGCACGCCGGTAGTCTTCGAGAAGGACGAGGACGTTGACGCCGAAGAGGTGCTGCGTCAACACCCGTGGATGCGGGACTTGATGGACTTTCAGTACGCGTTATCGAAGGTGGCTGAAGGGGATGACCTAAACGCAACGATGCAAACACGGGAGGGAACACTTTTGCGCACGGCGACACGCGGGGAGGATGGATGACTTGATCCGTAAGAGTTATGAATGACGAAGACTTGTGAATGTCTTATGCAGGCACCCGGTTTCTGCTGTCTAGACCGTGACCTGAGAAAATTTTGCAAAGCGGCCGCAACCCCCTTTGCATCATGCAGCTACCCGTCACGCGCGACAAACAAATCATACCGTAATCACCCTTGGCGATGTCCCTTGACCCCTTTGTGGTGGTGGAGGTTTGGTTTTTTCTTTTGGGTTTTTGGTTTTTTTTCTCATGAAGGGGTAAGGGACATCGCCTTCGAACATTGAACCCTCGACTTCGACGTTGAAAACTCGACTCCGACGCTCTCATCCCAACCACACCAGATACAAATCCGTGGCGAGGATCAGCAGGCATCGAGAAGGGCTGGCCAGACCCTTCCCGAAGCCGCGTCAACCCGACGGACACCGGTAATACATACAATCAAACAACACCCGATCATGACCATCATTCCCCCCTCCCAAATCCAGATTGCATCCACCCAGACACCAGAGTGTCAGTACCGAGCTCGACGCAACAACGACGCATCACTCAGCAACGCCCCCACGGACGCGGCGCACCACGACGGTCGCGTCTCGTTCCAACAGCTCCTGCCACGAAGACTCCGCCAGGCTCCATCTGATCCCCACCGCGCGCCCGCAGGGATCAAACGAAGTCCGGCAAGAGTAGTGGTGCAGGACTGGATGGACGAGGGACATCTGTCGTGGTGGCGGTCTTGGTGGTGGTGGCATGGGGGCAGCGAGCGAGGCGTCGGAGGTTGCGGTGCGTGTGTGTGTGTGTGATTGAGAGACGCGACGTGCGAGGGAGAAGAAGACGGAGTGCACATGGCGGATGAGGCATGCCAAGGCGGATGGGTGGTGGTGGTGGTGATGTTTGTTTGCTTGTTTGTTTGTGGGTTGGCGTCTTCCTCTCCCTCTCGCGATCCCGTCATCCCGTCGGTCGAACCAGCAACGCCGGAAGAGACCTCATCTCATGGCTGAAGGGCAAATGTCAGTGAAGGTCCTTTAATCTCGGGAAGTTGTGCGCACTTACGTCCTAGAGGAGCCATGAGGGCATCCGCGTGTATGATGTGGGTTGCGTTCGCAGGAGCTTGGAGGCAAGGCACCGATGCGTGGCAGTGGTTCGCAGCAAGAGCAGCGGGAACGTGGACGGATGCAGAGAGCAGAGGAACCACGACGCGGACGGTCCGTCCCTGATATAGAGCCCTCCCTCTCTCCTCTGGGCGTCGGCGTGGTTCGTCTCGATGAACCCACTTCTGCGAACGATGATGCCGCAGACGTGGACAACCGCTTGAGTGCATGAGCTGTTCTGCATCACGAACCTCTCGCACACATGCCCTACAGTCTCTACCCGTCGATAACTGGGTCGAACGGGTCCAGAGGGGAGCACCTCCTCCTCCGACGGCGACGAGCGCGCATGGAGGGTTCGGATGAACCGTCGCGGGCATCAAACGGATCAAACGGAGGGAAGACCCAAAACAGCTCGCGTAAGGTAAAGCCCCCGCTCAATGCTCATCTTGTCCTGTCTTATGTTGGCTTACCTGTTCCATGCAGCTTCCCTTGGACTGAACCGGTCTCTCGCGCTTTCCTCGCCAGCCAACTTCACCGTTCAACAACACCAAAAAGAAGAAAAAAGACATCGACAAACGACAGTCACCGCCATCGCCAGCAGCCATGAGCTCCAACGCCGACGACCCCATCTTCCGCAGCCAGTTCGACAGCGATGAGGGCTACTTCAACGCACTGCTTTCTCGACGAATTTACCCCGGAAATGCTGCCATCGACCCTTCGTTCGCACCAGCCTACGACGCGTGGCTGCAAAACTTTGACGAAGACAGAAACCCCGCTCTCCACGCGACCGATCTCTCGAGCGTCGCAGACTCCCAGTTGCCCGAGAGCGTAAGCGGTGTCCGCTCCGATCTCCTTCAGGACAAGATGGAGAAGTACAGCGAGGCGTTTGATCAGTACCGGCGGCAGCGGTCGATGGAGTACCGCCAGCACGAACAGCCCGCGCCCTTTCGCCCGGTCCCAAGTCGGTCGCCGTTCAACTTGAACAACCAACAATGCCAGCATCAGCGGCACATCCTGCCCCAGGTCCCCTACAGGACCTCGAGTTCGCAGAGCGTGCCTCTTCAGGGTGAGAAGACCACTAGCCCTCCTCTCCACTCGTCTCGTCGAGCACAACCTGAACTGACTCCGAATCCCGCAGCTGCTCCCACGGCTCCGACCCAACGGCGCCAAGAGCATCAACAGAACATCTCGAGCCGTCCCTTCTCGGGGACCTCGGGTCTGCAGACTGTGCCTTAGGGTTAGGGTTACTTAGGGTTACTTAGGGTTTTGCCTTCTTCCTCCATCTTGTAACACGGCGGTCGTGTTCGACATCTCGCCTTCTTGTGTTGGCTGCCATCATGGATCAACACCTCTCGGAACCGCGCTGTCCGCCGGGCGTCGAGCCGCACGTGAGCAATCAACCCCCACACTAACACGCACGACAGGAGACTGACTGACTGACACCGGCGCAGGATCGGATGAGCTACCTATTCCGCGGCAAGGTCATCGGCGACCTCGTCTTGAAGAACATCGGCGATCGCAACCAGGTCACCTGGCGTGCGCAGGACAAGGTCGTGATCAACTACTTCCTCGCCAGGAACGGCTTCGACGAACTCGTCGTCAGGTCCCCGAGCAAGCTCCGTGAGCTGGCGCAGTTGCTCAACGTCGACGTCGACTGGTTCCAGCAGACCGAGTGGCCCGCGATCGAGGGCAAAATCGCCTCCTCCCTCAAGTACCACCTCGGAAAACTCATCAACAATGCCCAGAACGGGTTCAAGAGGCGCTTCGACGCGGACCTGCGAAGGTCGGTGTACACTTGGCCCGAGGAGCTCCGCCGAACACTTCTCAGGACTGTTTGCGAGGGCTGTCAATGTGCTGGCAACGGCGGCGATGGCATCGTGCACGTCCATGCACCGGGTGGCGGACAGGGTGAGGACCACGGCGGCAATGGCAGAGGCGATGGCGGCGCCAACGGAGGGGGAAACGCCTTGCCTCGTCCGCGAGACCCTGCAACGCCGCCGAGACGAGCGCCACCTGTATCCCCTCCCGTCACTCCGCCGGTCTCTCCGGCGAGGGCACCTGCGGGTGTTTCCGAGCGTGAAGGTCCTCGTGGTCGGCCGATTAGTCTGCCGGTCTCTCCGGTCTCGGCGCCCGGAGACATCGCCGGCGCAGACATCCGCCACGGCCTGCGGCACTCACAGCTACCGTTCAGAGCCGTGACGAACCAGTTCCGCCGCAGCCTGCCGCCCCGCCCACGACCGCCGCCACAGGGCCTCAACGGAAGCCTCTTCAACGACCAGCCGGCCTCACAACATCCACCGGTTAACCTGCCGGTCCCGGCCCCGGGATTGCCGCAGAGAGACGTCCGCCACCGACTCCGCCACAGCCTACCGCCTCGCATACAGCCGCCCGCAGACATCCCCGGCCGAGTCGTCCAGAACATCCCGCCGGCACCACAACAACCACCCTCCCAGCCGCCGGTACGGCCACGCCCAGCACCCGCAATGAACAACAAACCTCTGGGCCTTGCACTTCAAGATATGATGAGCCGCCGGCGTTCGCTCACAAACAGGTCTACCGCACACATGGCCGCGTGCAGCGACCTCGTCGACACAGCCCTGAACGCCATCCGAGACCCCGAGGCCAGAATCCCCCTCTACGCCACCGTACTTCGCGAGCTGCTGCCCGCGGGCGCCGACGCGGCTGCGTTGGACATGATGCTCGCCACCCTCCATAACGCGCAGGGTGATTTGGGACAAGGGGCCGCCGAGCCTGTTGGGCAGCTGCTGGAGCGTGTGCGGTTGCTCCGAGCGGAGCGGGAGCGGGCGAGGAGGTCGTTCGAAGCGGCGAAGGAGGAGGCGTCGGAGGTCATGAGGCGATGGGCGAGTGAGGGGCATTTTCGCGAGCTTGGTGATGCTCATTGGCTGCAGGTGCTCTCTGTCTAGGAACATAGCTGGGGGGATGTTTGGTTCTGCAGTGGTGATGTGTGTGGGAGAGATGACAAGAGGTCCAATACGTCTTGAATGTTTTCGCTCAAGTGCTTTCTTGTTTGACCCGCCGGCGATCGTCTACACCCATGTCAATTCGTCGGGACTTGGTCGCAGTCCATGGAAACGAGTGCTGATTTGTATGGAGGTGACTCGTCGAGATGAATGCCAACGCTCCCCGTTCCTGTAGCTCTGGTATCAGCCGGGCTGCAAGAAAAAGCGCAGATGGACCTCCCTCGCGAAGACTTCCTCCATCTTGTCGCCTAGAAGCTTCCTTACCTCGAAGTAGCCCGCCCAAATCGCACTTTTCCTCCCATCTTGCCGACGAGACACGTCTCTCGTAAAGCCGGATATACATTGGTTTCCCTCCTAGCTTGCCCTCGTCCAGCACCGAGGTTTGTGCGCTCGCTTCCCAGCCAGGAGCACCTGCTGCTTTGCGCCGTCCTACCTCAAGGCGATCATGGTGCAGAGGGCATGAGGGTTGACGTGACGATCGTAAAGTCTGCCGAGAATGCTTCCTCTAGGCTAGCGCAACAGCTCAGTTAGTGACCCATTTTCGGCCCCGCGCACTCCGGGCCCGGGCCGGTCACGGGTCGGCTTCAGCCCCGCCTCGTCGGCTGGAAAAATGTCGCCTACACTTGAATCGAAGCTAGGCTTTTTCAAAAGATGAAACCAACTTCAGGAAAGGGACTGGGCCTACACCGCGACTTAGCCTCACGTCACCCCGCCTGTCAAGTTGTGCCTCAAATTGAGTTGACCGGTTGAGCGGCACGTTATTCGTCAGTGCGATTTTCGTGCGTTTTCCAATGCCAGGCCCTTGCTAAGCACAATGAAAAGTTATTTGAACTTGCGTTTCTTGTTAATATCTAGAGGTGATACCATAAACTCTGATGAAGAATCCCGAGTCTCCACTGACCGATGTCGAAAGCGCTTCTAGTAAAAGAGTGTCGATCGCGCGTTTCAACAAGAAAAGGCTTGTTTCACGCAACAACGTCCACCAAAGCCAACCCAGGGTAGCCAAAGAGCTCCGTGGGCTCCTCCTGTCATGCGCAGCATCTCCCTCATACCGGGGAAATCATCGAACTGGCTCCAACCAGCACATATGTATGTAGGGCTTCGAGGTCTCACGGCGTCGAATGGTGTCGGGCATTGACCCAACCGAGTGCCCTGGTTCCCTCCGATAATTCCGGCCATCTCCTTCACGCCATAGACAATGCAAAACCTGCTCCAACCACAACATGCAGGTGTATAACTTTGGAGTTTCTCGACTTCAGATTGGTTCATGTAGTTGAATGTCGCCGCCGACGCATGAGGCATCCGTCGTCTTTCCTATGGGACCGAACACAAATTAGCGATGACCGAATCCATGACTCTTTAGCGTGAGCTTACCCGATATGTTCAGGATTTAGTTCGTTCCATCCCGGCTCGAAAGCGGAGAGTCGGAGTTCGGCTTCTTCTCGCACCTGTCAGCTTCATCTTGAAGGGACTGAATTCCACGGGCCAGAGACTCCAGGCCGCTGATGGCGAGCGCGTCGTTGGGATTCCGGTGGGCAAGATCGCGGATCCTGATAACGAGGTCGATCATGGGACCCTTGAATACCACCTCCTCTGGCTTTGGCTGGTCGTTTTCGGAGGCAGCTGAAGAGGAGCCTGTTGCGGTTGGCTTCGAATCGACCACTGTATCGGGTCGCGCAGGCACTTCGGAGGGCGATGCCGACGAGGAGTCCATCACGGCAGACTTGGTATTGGCCATTTTAGAGCGTAACGGATCGCTTGTGGTAGTCGTTCCCTTTGAGACCGGAGTTTTGATGCGACGTAAGTTGCAGTTGTGAAGAGAGTGAGAAGTACGTGAGCATTAAATTGGCAAGATTGGGGTGGTTGTTGTGGAAAAGATTTTGGTTTAGCGGGGGATAGTCTGACAGAAGGTAGTCGCCGGGTTTGCCGCGATGTGGAACCGAGTTAGAAGAGGAAAGAGCGCTGCATCGATTGCAGTTGCCCGAAAACACTCAGTTGGCGCTTGCCTAGATGGATCCATTCATTCGAGGAAGAGGAAACTGATGCTCGGGGAAGGAACAACGGCGCCATAACCTCGCGAGAACTTTTGACATGGCGGAGAGGGTGAGGCTGAGGCTGAGGCTGAAGGACGGGCATCCAAGGCACCGTCACAACTGCTTCCTTTGAACATCCCAGATTCTCATCAACGCAAAAGCGTCGCCACCATTTTCAATAACAACTGGGACCTTCATCCACGTTCTTCACGTTCGAATGTTTGCATCAGAGTCACACTGGCCGCCTCTGTCAGTGTCCAAAACCGAACATCTTTCATGCGCCATTCGGATCTCCATCTACGGCACCTACCTCTCTCTGTTGTCTTGAACGGACGCGTCGAAGGCCTCGATGTCGGCGTGACAACTGGGCATACAGCAGACTCAAATGCGCGAGAGGTACCGGAAGCCCAATCGGATCGGATTGTGCGTATTCGTCGGTGGAATGATGTTTGACACCAAGGCCAGGAAGATACTTCAGCATCCTCACCACGTCAAACCTCCGAGGTGTTTACCCAAGTTGTCATCAGTTGCTAGAAAAGATGTTGGCGTCAGGAATATCTTGAGTCATCTGGCCATGCACGGGAAGCAGTAGTACTTCCTCAGTGACTTGATCTTTCCTTTCTTAAGGATATCGGTAGATGCTCCGAAAGAAGGCGTCGTCGTCACATGAATCTGGCTGCTCTCTCGTGGATGGTGTAAGTGGGCTTGCCTGTCTGTCTGCTGATTTATGGTGCCTGCTCCGTGTCATCGTGTCATGGGGAAAACAAGAGAGCACCAACTGTATCCGTAAGTGTTTGCCTCCCAGTTTGAATCCGTGACTCTTCTTTTGCCGCTAACCTCTGAAGCGCGGCCTGTCAGACCGTCATTCGTCACCATTCTCTTCCCGGCCGATGTACGTGATACTGCTTTCAACGCAGGCCTTTGCAAGTCGGCCGGTTCCCAACCACCCAAGCAAAGCCCGGAGCAGGCTAGACCGCCAGTAATGAAGAAGATGATAATGATGACAACCAGACAAATCCTGGGTCTTGCCGCTCATCTAAGCGAGTTCGCCTCGGCATGCAAGACCAAAACCTGCCGCCGCTGCAGATGACCTCCTCCGGCGCCAGCCGGCCGCGTGCGTCTTTCAAGTGAACTCCGGAGCCCGCCCCCGAGAAGTCCGCGTCGGACAGCACCATCGCCACCGCCCGTTGTTTGTTTTGAGTCTGGCCGAGAATCAAGGCATGATCGCACGCCTCGGGTCCAGACAAGCGGACCGCCGTCAGCGAGAGAACGAGAAGATGCCGAGAAGAGGACGAGAAGATGACGAGGAGATGACGAGAACATAACGGGGAGATCACGAGAAGATGACGTGGAGATAACGAGGACATGACGGGGATATCACGAGAAGATGACGAGGAGATGACGAGAATATGACGGCCACGAGCGCGAGCGCGATCCAGCGAACCGTCGTAAATATACGGCGTCGTATTGCTTCAACCATAACCCAGACAGATGTGCGTGTTTGGTGGGAGTTCTCTCGGCTGGTGCGCCTTTCTTACCTGATCCATTACCAGCCGGCTTTGCCAAAGCAGATGCAACGACTTCCCCGATGACATGAACTACAACGTGAATTTGTGACTGTCTATGAGATGTGGTCTCTGAGAGTCTCAGAAACGATCCTATGTGCCATCGCCGAATTGCTATGGATTTTCATCCGCCGGATCATGTCGCATCGAAACAGAATGGCAGGCCCGAAGCCGTACCGCACAAGGTTGGGTAGAATTGCGCCACATGGTATCTCCGGCGGCGTACGGCCATGCCTGGCCGTACGAACATCGGGGATCGTGGCGTGGACTTCGGCGTAACTGCTTGAGGAGACTTCAGTCTGGTGACTCCACCATGCATCATCCGGGCTTCAGCGGGATGCGGCTTTGACTTGCACAATGGCCGCGCTCGAAGTTGTCCAAGGTCACGATGCAACGGACGGCTTGGACTGATCGGGACGTACATATGACGGAGACATGTGAATGTTCACGCAGGCATGGCAATCCCGATTGAACGGGGTTTGACGACAACATGTACAAGTCCATCTTCACACCCCAATTCGACGCAGTTCACGACTTCTCAGTAACTTAAAAGAGTTTTGGAACAGCATGTCAGGTGCTTCCTCCATCCATACTCAACCCGCGTCACGACGTTCGCACCGGATGGGATGTTTCCGTAGTCAGAAGTTCGGAGCCAAGATCCGAGATCCAGCGTCGCAGCGGCACGTCGAGTTCTCTTTCTCTCCGACTATCATATCGAGGGCCACATTAGCTGGGGCCTTCCCCCAAGCCTCCTCCATTTCCCGCAGATTTTGTCGCACTCTAGCCTTCTCCGCGAAACGCGCTCCCAATCCACTCTTCGGCCGCCTGGTCCCAGCTCTACAGTAAACCATCGGCGCCGTCGAAGTTCGGTACGCGCTTCGTTGCCATGGTCCTAGAGGCGTTGGAATCCATCTGGACCAGTCCCGGGATGAACCTGCGGGCGGGGGCGGCTGTAACAGGGAGCGGGACTGCAGGCTGTGGGCCGGTTCGTGTTCCCTCGGGGCTTTGGACGGGAGGCGTGTGAGCTGTTGGTCAGGTTAGCTTTCAATCTCGACGTTAGACCAGGATACTCACCTTCAGCCGCTCTCTGGCGGGCTGTAGCCTTGAGGCGCCGGGACTGCCTGGCGTTCGCCAGCTGGACCTGCTTCTTTTCAGAAAGCTTTCTGCCCATCCTATTGGGAACATTAGCACTCGGCCTCGCAGAGGGTGAGCTGTGACATTACGTTGACTTGACGGTGGGTTGCAGATGGTGATTTTGGATGGAGAAGAGTTGGATTACCGGAGACCTGCAGTTTATTTTTTGAACGACGAGACGCGCCTCGCTTATTTGGCGAATTGAGTTACGTTTCTGGGCGCGGTTGTCATGGTGAATTGAATCTCGGGATCGGTCATGTAAATGACGGGACGGACGGGCGTTGACGCCGACGGCAGGCATGACCCGGACCTCAGCCATCCGAGCTGCTCATTGGCTGGAAGGGAAAACGGTGAAGTCGAGGTGACCGTTATTGCTATCGTTATCGGTATCGCGATAACGATAACGATAATCATCAAAATCGCCTTACCTACATCATCGCCGGCGTAGATGAATTGACGGTTCTCCAAGTGATGGGTGCTCCTAAAAAAATCAATAATCTATGGTGAGTCCAGGCTAATTAATTGGGAATAAGGGGGGTGTCTTGACTGACATTTACTGCATCCTCAGCTCCCTCCCGAAGGTATCGACCACCCGACTCCTACACAACCGCAAGAATCACCACATCACCACCCTTGCCTTGGTCATCCAAGGATCTCCCAGCGTTTTCTCATCTCCCCAATTATGCTGCACACTTTTATACCCCGCGTCCGCTTCGACGACAAAGCGCCAGCTCAGCACTCTTCCATACCTACACTGGCTTCGAAGTAGCTTGCAAGTACCTTTCCTCCAACGGCGACTCCAGCGACATGACCGAGTCCGGAACGCGACCTCGCCCACCGCGACCTACGGGATCCGCAAGTCCTTGAGGAAGTCTCGTCAATTGCAGCTACTACTGGCGGGAAACGTTCGGCAACATCAAGTCCAACTACTCAATTAACAACATCATCAACAACCACTCCAGGAGACCGCCAACGCTTTCGGAAACCCAAACTTCCAAAAACTCAGTCGGTGGGGGTAAATCCATTCATCTACTCGCCTTCATCACCCTCAAACCATCTATCAACAAGTCGCGTTGTTCTGAAGCTGCTGTGAATTCCCGCCTCGTTTCTCCACACATTAAGGACTGCCTCACAACTCAGGTCGCACGCTAACCGTCTCTCGTCATGCCAGTCAATAATCATGTCGTTTAACCGGAATACCCTTGGCATCTTCGAAGCTGTTGTTGATCCATACATCGCGCCGTCTTATCCGATAAAGGTGCTTATCCTCAAGAGACCCCCTTGGACATGGTGACAATGCGGCGCAGGTCCGAGGCATCTCAACGAGCCATCGGAGCCCGGCTTCACAGCCGACATACAACCAAGCGATTCCGTCGACAGCAGAGAAAGGTTCGAGGCAAATCATGTCTGGAACGCTGCAGACGCCTTGCTCACGGCGTAATGAGGGGCTGCCACGAGACATCCGACACACATCGAGGCGTTTGAATCACGATGACACCATGAACGCGTTTTGTCGAAGCTTCCAAGTACTGGGATGGGGAGGTTTTACCATGATGTATCTACTGCCTGCTCACTCATGATGTATTCGTAACATGTCGCGAGGCGCGTGGCAATTCGGGCGCATTGGATAGAAGGACCAAGTCTGCCGGGGTCGGATGCTGCCACCCTCGATGCGACAGAGCCGTGCACCTTTCGCAAGTGTGGCACCGATAGCTTGGCCGTATTGCAACGGAGTAATAAGATGTTCAAGTTGACCTTGTTATGCACACTGAATGAAAGACAGCCTCACGCGAGATGCGAACTCGTAGTTGGCCATCCCTTCACCAGACGAGACGACGATGCGTTGACAGCGCCATTTTGTGGGCAGTCTTTCCGAGAACCCACTTCCGGCATTTCCGGCATTGTCTTGGCCAAGACGGTCGCGGGAAAGATCTTGTCTGCATTCCAGCAAAGGGAGACATATGTGTCACTGGTGCCGGGTAGGGTATCTTTGGTTCGAGCGAGGGTGTGGCACCGGCCAGGGCCACCTTTAGTGCAAGATCGCGCTCCTCACGGCTCGTTTGGCGCATCACTTTTCAACAACCTTGCAAACGTGAGGGAAGATTGTATCTGATGTTGGTTTTGTGAGTTTATCTTATGATGCAGAGGACTTTTCCTGCATGTGTCCCTCCTCGCTTGAGCTGGGCTGCAAAGTTTGTGTTGAATTATGTCGACTTGACGCTTCTGACTACCAGCTCCACGTGAGAGACATGGCTACATAATAAACGAACTGGATCGATGTTGTCCCAGCTCTTCTCTAGAGTCCAATACATGGCAGTTTACGTTCCAGATCGAAGTGCTCTCGTCCGATTCATGTCACAAGACGTCACATTAGGAAGCCACACCTTGTGTGCCTGCTGCTCAAGGCGTGCTCGATGTCCTGTCTTCGGTTGACGGGTTGTCAACAGATACATGAGCATTATTCGTGCCGTTCCTTTCGGTCTTCAGGTTTCATAAGACGGCGAACGTGAAGAGTGAACTTTTCTGGCAAATGGCCGCCATGCCGATAGTTGGCAGGAATGGAATCTGTGTGAGATCTTTCGTAGACGTGAGAGGGGTGCTGCATCGATATGATGAAGGGAATGCGAAAGCTTCGACAACGGACGAGAGATGGTGGTCAAAAGATAAATTCTTTGGATATATTGCGCGTTTACTCTCACGTAGTAGAAGATGTCGGGAGCTTTTATGTGAACAAATCCCAAGTAAACCGCAGATACGGGAGAGAAGTATCAAGTCCGTGTAAAATCACATTTAAAAAACCAATCGGAGTAATAGCGTGGATACCTGAGAATGAGAGGTGTTTGGCGAGAGATAACGATCGCTGGCGGTCGATGACTTGGGTGGTGAGAAACATGTGTGGTGAGAGACCGTGGTCGAGGGCTGCGGTACCGGGAATCTCGCGGTGGATTATGGGCCTGTTGATGGACAGAATCGCGGCTCCAATGTCCATGACCGTCATTAATAGATGCCAAGATCTTGAAAGAAAGACGAAACACGGATTCTGCTGGCCGATGGGCGTATGTGTACGGCGAGAAACGCGGCGGCGGCGACAGGAGGGGTAGTGATATTGCGTGGCGAGATCATCATCCTTCTCTTAAGGTTGCCACTACTGTGATGATTGTGATGATCGTATCGGAGAGCATTGCATGAACTTCGGTAGTGGAAGAAGACAGCTTTCGCCGGTGACGCGAAGTTTTCGTTCGAGCTGGCCCCGGCCCTTCAGAATGACCCGGCACCGGGCTCGCTACAACTCAATCAATCGTGGGCAATCAAGGCAATGACCGAGGAACCCATTTCTCGTCAATAGCAATGTCTATTAAGGAGAGGGCCAGGCGTCATGGGAGAAATTGATGGTGAATGATATCCTTTCATGAGTGAGGCACTCGACTCAACAAGGCCGTGTCCGGAGGCCGCTCCGGCGTCTCGGTCAAGAGGGGATACGGAACATGCGGCCGACTAGGACCAGACAAGCCGCATGTCCAGAAAGTCGGTATGCACCAGCAGTAATAAAGCGACTTTTGATGAAGGGAAGCACGGCTAAGCCGCTGCAACACAATGTATGAAACCCATCTCATGGCTGAGGTGGCGCGCTTCACTGGTCCTCGAAACTTCCAAGTTCCAGGTTGAAGCCTTCAAGGGCGCAGAACGGCTCAACCCCACGCTTTAGGCAGTGTGCGCTGTCGTACAGTGGTCACATCAGCGGACCACTCGCTATAGGTAATTCACTATTGCCGGGCTCCCATCATTACCGCCGGAGATAAGCACGGACCCTTGTGTGCGGTGCTATCGGGGCTTATCCATTGGCTGGAAAAATTCAGCCGAAATGTACCCATCCCGCACCTCTGAAATCCAGCAGACCATTTTTTTTTCACGAGATTCACATCCACCTCAGCCGGCCCTTGGTGCCCAGGAGTGAGGTAGGCAGCTTCCCATGGATGCGACTCAATCGGGTTTGAATTACGGCTGAGGAAACATGCTGTTAGGGTTCGGAACTGTTCAATGCACGTAGATATTGTAATACGGAAGGACGGAGGCGATGTCTAACTGGGGCTCGGGGCAGTGGTCGGCCGTAAGCAGAAGCGCCGTCACTGGATGCAGCGCGAGTGCGCGACAATCGCAGTACGCCGAGCAACGAAACGCAGCGAATGCGAGAGCAATCGACAAACAACCAGGAGAAGTGAGACGGCTGCCGATGCGGATCAAGTATGGGCAAGCACAAGTTTGTTTGTTAGCTGGGTTGCGGTGGCGGTGGCAGAGCTCTCTCATCCCGCTGTCTCATCCCGCCCTCTGGAGCGGCAATTCATCTGCGCATTCAACCGCTTCACCGACCAACCGCGCCAACAAAGAAGAAAAGGGGAAAGGAAAACACGGTTGTTTGCATGCTCGGCATCACGCGCGCGTCCCAATAAGGATACGACTGACCATGGCGACATCGTAAGAGTACTTTTGCGATGCCGTCAAAGGTTGCGTGAGTGTCTCGTTCTGTTGGTGCGGCTGAACGGTGCACTAACGGTTGGCTTGGCCCGACCGCGCTGCGCAACCTGGAAATTAACCAACCGTCACCTCCCGTCCAGAAACTCGCATACCCGTACTTCGCCCGACGCCCGGCATACCGCTTTGAGTAAGCGATTCGGCATGTTTGCTTTCTTGGCTGTGCAAGCAAAGTCTTCGGGACGCAGGCCGATGCCATGCCCAGCCCGGATAGCAGCAAGATGAGGCGGTACGGATACTGGTGCCGGCGATCCCCGCCCGTGCCGCATGTCAGCGACTCACGCCGCACGCCAGAGACAAGTCGACCAGGCAATCAAGCCCAACATGAACTCGCCATCCGTATCAACTTCAATCGCCCGACAGCCGATGGTCGTGAGATTATTTCTGGTGGCCAGCGGCAGTGCTTGAAGCGGCCAGAGAGGACGCGACCCCAGAAAGAAGTGGCAGTATTCTCATGTTTCGGGTGCCTCCCAGTGACGTGACTATGCGGGATCGTGTCCAGGACCC